AATGTGGTTGAGATGTAAACGATAAGAAAAAATTGACATACATTTGTTCATGACATTACCAAAAGGTCCAAACAAAACAGATCCAGTATGTATGGCTCTCAAGGGGTAGGCAAAATTTACCTCTGCTCCTAGAATAGTGATGTTTCCGTAAAGACACCGGAGTAAGAGAAATTTGGGAAGTTTTGGAAGCAGTTAAAAATTGAAAATATTGTTTAAAAATTTTGAAAGTTTTTGAATGTTTTGAAGTAGAAAAAAATATCAATGGAGAAAGGTAGAGTCAAAGTACGATCAAAACTACCATACTCCTTATTACAGCGCCATGAGAACCCCCCCACCCCCAGGGGTTGCCCTCAAACCCTACAAGAAGTCTGCTATATAAAACCGTGGTCTCAAAGATCACCTCATTGAACTACTTTCACACAAAGCAATAGTTTGCATCAATATAATTCGAAATCTGCTTAGCACATTTCTTAATCAAAATAGAATGTAGAATTGCCAGAAGGGTGTGAAAGACTACCTCCTGACTGCGATTTACAACTCCAACGTAACCAAGTCGAAGTGGAATCACTTTTCCAAGCAAAAAATTGCGAGCATCTGTGCCTCTATCCATAATGTCCAACTGAAGCAACAAAGAAAAAGATAGATAGTGATGTTAAATTTGAAGGTTTTAGATCACAAGAGCAAAAGAGAATTTCATCAGTGTATACAACCTTAGTGATTACACCAATGGTTCGATAACCTGTCAGACAAACCAATTAAATATCATTATCATTAAGATATTTAACATTCATTCTTTTAGTTTCTAGCACATTTTAAATATACAGATCAGTAATGTGAAAATTACTGTGTACCATCCGGGTCAGCATTTCCAGCAATCTGGAGGGCATCTGAGTTGGCTAAGTCAGCATTCGCTGGTGTAACGGCAAGTATCAGGCAGCTCGGGAGTTTAATATATGACATTATCATTGTTCTGATTCGAGCTTCAATATCAGATGGCTGATCGCCAACAGGGACCTTTGTTATGCCTGGCAAATCAACTAGAGTAATATCTAAAACATTTGGAGAGAATATTTTCAGCCGAATCTGTCTGTCTGAAACCCCTTTATTTGATCCTGCTTCTCTGTCTGTCTCTGCCTGATGAAATTAGTATGCAGTAACATTTAGAAGCAAAAATTAGGATAGAACATAAACAAAAATCTTGAAAAAATGTCCTCATAAAAAATCATACTTGCCATTTTTACAAAATAAGTCATTGTGCCGCAAGCACTGAGACAATTTGTACGTCTTCAGTCTTACAAAGATTTTCCCATTTACTATTTGAGGGTCAAAATTCAGTCATTTTTCTTTAATTTCATTATGATAAAATAAAATATTGTTGTCACCTCTTGTTTGTAGATCTTTTGATGTAGTTTTTAAATACATAAACCCTATTTTAAAATTTTACCCCATTTTCCATAAAAATTAAATTGAAAATAAACTCAGTCAAACATCGTTAAGTGTGTGGGAAATTCTTTTTGGGAAGGATGGAATATTTTGTTATGGACTCCATCGACGAAGTTCAACAACACTTCATTGCACAATCCAAATGTGTTAACAACCTTACTGTTTCAATATCAACAAGACCACCATTAAGCATGTTGCTGCTTTGACATGTTTGAATTCATTACATATGAAATATGTCAATGAGAAAGGTATATAAATCTAAAGTCTGAAGAGATAAAGTGTGAACATGCATTAAGAATGAAGGCAGTTTACTTGACCAAACATCATCATAGTATAAAATTAGAATTGTAGGAACTCTGGAGCGTCACATTGAATACTCCCCGCGTAGATTCAATTTAACTATGGATTTTCTTTAGTTGTTGTCCATAAAATGAACTGGTAGCCTCCAAAAAACTTACATGAGAGCCAATATATACCACAAACAAATTGGAGGATTTATTTTAAATTGGATTTAGATGAATAGGAAATAGGGGACTGTGTGTGCGTGTAACAGGGTGCACCAGTCTCCCTCACAATGGGAGTCTGGGAAGGGCATAATCTAAGGGAAGTCATTGCCTTTTAGCAATGAGTTGGGTTTGAACCATGGACTGCCATGGGGAGAGACTCCACCAGTTGCACCAGACACGCCCATCTACTCAAAATGTATGGTGTTGTTTTATTGTTTTACGGACTATTATTTTAGATAGTTCGGAAACAAGAATACAATATGAAAGAAGAGACATAATAGCTTCATATTCCATGAGATTATTGATCCTTTTTTCAGTACACATTTACACATAGACTGTCTTCATTGTTCACATCTTTGGATCTCCATTAACAATCTTCTTTTACTCTTTCTTCTCTGCTGCTAACAAATTTTTTGTCGTTTTCCCATTTCATCATGACCCCCCCCCCCCGGTTTCCCTTCACATTATCCATCACAGTACAGCATTGATTAAACAGGCTTTCAGAAAAATATATTTTCGGATTAACAATAGTCTAGAGAAAAAATGAATTCATCTAGCATCTTTTGAAGTTGTGCAAATATTGCCTCCCAAGTTTTAGACCAACTGACCTAGAGCTACTAGTGTATTCAAATGATACAAGGGGGCTTTTAATACAACATCTATACAGTAAAGTGAAGCTTCAAAAATATGCTTCGTTCAAACTTACAGATTACGAATTGAGATGGAATAATTAACTCTCCAATAAAAACATTACCTGAATTTCCCTCCGAATCTCATTGAAATCATAGAACTTCTTCCCGGGGAGGTGAAGGAACTCTCCCCACTCATCATTTCCCTCTGGCTTCCGCTTGGTCTGGAGCAGCTGAAGCACGAGGGGGCGGCGAGTACAGATGTCGGAGCCTCGGGGCAAGAAGTCACGACCTACGAGGGCTTCAAGGACGCTGGATTTGCCACTGCTTTGGCTGCCTACGACGGCCACCTGCGGGAGCTCAATGGTGGACTGGCTGCCAAGCTGAGCGAAAATGTCTTGCAATTTGTTCACGATCGGAATCACTGAGTGCCCCAACGGCGCCGCACTCGACGTCGGCGTTGATGAATTCGGAGAAACGGCCTCTTCTTCCATGGAGACTCTTCAGGAAGGCTTGAGAAGAGATCGCAGAGATTTAAACCCTAGAGAAGGTAGAAAATAGCTTTAGGACAGAGAAAGGGAGTGCCAGAGTAGTTTTGGTTCCGGGCGTGTTTGTGTTTATTCTTTCCTGCCGCCCAAGAATCGGGATGGGGATGCCAATGGAATTGAAACTTGTTTAGGGCTTTCATATGTAAATAGAAAAAGAAATATATAGTACACTCTAATCTCTATTATTTAAAAATAAACAAATTGGTTTATGTTTTTAAGATTAAAGCAAAACAAAACTTCTTGCATTATTTGATTAGTTTTGAAAATACTTGAATCTCGAAATTCTTTGTACTTATATAATTAATAAAGAGTAAGTCCATCAATGCAACTTTTGACGAGTCGGGAGTCTCTACTTTCGAGCAGGGATAAAATCTACGAACACACGCTCTTTTTAGATTGTACTCTTGTGGGATTCAATAGGATTGTTGTTGTTGATTAATTTTGCTCTTACCTAATATTCTAAAGTAATACTCCGTTAAATATTGGTGTACGCATATAATAAACAATTTTATCTTTGAATTTTTTTCATAAAATAAAATACATAGTAAAATAGATAAACAAATGCTTATTTTGGTAAAAAGGTTTTATACCAAGTAAAAATTAACTGTGCATTGGGTCATGTGTAGACATAAAACCCCTCATGTCATCATTATACACTTTTTATTTTTATATTTATATTTATATTTATTTTATTAAATTAAATTAGTGAGAGAAATGTAAAAATGTAATTCGATTGGAGGAAAGAAAGAGGAGAAGAGAGTGGTGCTATGAGCATAGCGCTTCCATTTTTTTATGTTTATTTGGGGGCATAAGTGTTACAATTTTTGTACGGATTACAACGGACGCGGAAGATGAACGACCCCGGAAAATAAAATTAAATAAAATTCTGAATTTATAACTTATTCAGAATATTACAAGATAAACAGAATTGAAAATAAATTTATATATCTTCAAAAAGCCTTGTTGTATGAGAACATTAAACACTGGACAGCAAGGACATTATGCACTGGACAGTGAGGACGTTATGCACTGGACAACAAGGACATTATGTCCTAGGGCAGAATGCAGCGAGGTCTTTATGAACTAAACCTGCAAAAAAACACCGTGGAAGGACAGCGGAGTCGCCGGAGCAAAAATTGAAATTCTTACCATATTCTTCTATTAACGGGTTAACTCTGAAAATCAATTTCTCATTCACCCTTTACCATTTTTGGCGTATAAATTATCATAACATTTATCTCATTTAAGAGAACATGCGTCCATTAATTAACGGTTAAAACCGTTAGTAGACCTATTGACAAATATATTCAAGTGAGTCCATTTAATGCCTATTAAAAATGCTAAAAATTCCAATAATAACGCGCCGGTGAAGGAGAATATAATGAGTAATGGATATAACACCCACCACACTGTCATACGAAGTAGCATGTAACGCTATGATTGCTCGTGTCTTCTGAACCAAAATTGTATGTACTCATTTTAACAATTTAAGGTAGTAAATTATGACAAACGCACATGATTTAATCGGGTTGAACAAAAACAAATAGTATATGAATTATATTGTTTAAATTTGAGCATTAGGATGTTTTTGCATGTTTTATATTTAATACTTGATTTTCTTATCTTCAAAGAGTGATTTATTCACATAGATAAAATCATTTTTATGGTCGGACAAAAGATCGTTATGTTTTTTTATGTTTGTTATAATTTCTCGATCCCACAAAAAATTTCTACTTTCATGCCAAACTGAAGCACTAAGTCTCATTTCTTACTCAAGTAAAAAGACTTAGTTAACATGATCAACATTCAACAATAACAATACCAAACATAATCAATCATTTAAAAAAATAACAACGATAATAATTGAGATTGTATATCTCCCTAATACTTGCAATCACATATATACCACAACTATGTTATGGATTTGTTCTTAGGTTTATGATTTTGAAAATGCTACCAAACAACATCTTTTAACTTCAACATTTTCGAAGTCTATGTACGTACACCTTCAAATAAACGCTAACCACAAAGCGTTGTTCCCAAACAAATCCCATTTGGCGGTACTCTTATGTCACAATAATCTACCTTTGAGGAAGCTGGTGCATAGCTTCTTCCAGGCCTCCCTGTTTTGCTCATCAAAGGCGGCGGCTTCTTTAGTGAGCTTCATCTTTGCAGCAATGGCGACGTCGTCCGTGATGAGATTGCGTTGGAGAAGGCGATCGATGAGGTGGAGGATGATGTCATAGGTGTACTCAGGGTGGCCTTGTATCCCCATTATGTGATCCCCATATCTGAACATTTCTATTCCCGTCTTGTTAGACCATCCCATTATCTCGGCCTTCACTGGAAGTTCTCTAATCTGTTATATTCAAATCACTTTTGGTTTAGTTTGGTCTCTGAAAAGATGAATAATGCTACCATTCAAATATTAGACCCCTCTTGTTTAAGATCATATTTATATATTGTGTGTAAATTAAATAATATTAGGTAGTGTTTGGCAACTAGGATTTCATTTCAATTCATGTATTTCAATTCTAAAATTTGAAATCTTGAATTTCAAATGACAAGGAGAGGTGTATGGATTTAAAATTAAGCTTTGTTATGAATGAGAAGAATTTGATTCAAATCCAAATTCCAATTTTGTAAGTTTTCCAAACATGGAATTGGAGCCAAATCTAGATTTGAAATCCAAATCCATGTTCCCAAACATACCATAAATAAATTGTCACCTCATCACGATGGCACTCGATAACAGGAAGGAATTCTGGCAATTTCAAAGAGGAGAAGAGACTGGAAGAGAAAGAAGATGATGAAATATGAATAGGGGTCACACCGATGTCCCATCCGGCGGTTGCCCGTTCGATCTTTCCCCCTAATGCTCTTCCGAGTATCTGATTAAAGTAGTAAATCAACTATTATTTCAAGAAATAAGTAATGAAGAAGATTACTACTCTCTTTCCAATTTTGCCCATGATCTGATGAGATAGTTTGGTTATTAGTGAAAAAGTATGATAGGATAGGTAAGGCATGAGAAAGAAGGGGTAAAAGTGGTTTTTTAATAGAAAATGGAAGTGTTTCGTGGAAAGCAAAAAAAACGAGGAAATGTTTTGTAAAGTATTTTTTTTTCTCATTCAACTTTGTACAGTCTCTAACGTAACGGACCTGATGACCAAAGCAAATGCCTAGAACCTTCTTTTTCATGGCGTCCAGCTTGGCGAGGAGATGGAGGAGGCTGCAGATCCAGGCGTCGTCTGCGTGGGCGTCGTGGCAGCTGCCGGTGATGACGTAGCCGTCGAACTTCCCGGCGTCGTCGTCGGCCGGGAACTCTCCTCTGGCCACGTGGAACACCGCCCAGGTCTCCCCTTCCTCCGCCAGCATTCTCACGAAAACCCCAAAATACCCCCCGTATTTCTTCTTCACGTACTCCGGGTCCTCCGCGCACAGCAGAACCGCAAACTTCTTCCCATTTTCCATTTTTTGCACTGTATTTCTTATTAATTACGCTGCTTGCCCTCCTCCTCCCTCCCCCAGCTCTTCATATATATATATATATATATGCCTCTCTTTCTCTCTCGTTATAATTGACCTGCTTCTTTGGAATGTTTGCTAAATACCGAGTAAACTTTTTGTTTATTTTTAAAAAAATCCTCTAGTAAACCCTCCACAGTACCGACCCCAGCTCATCTATTACCCATGTCAAATTAATAGTTATCAAAATTTTGATTACAAAGTCAACTAAATTTACATTTGGCAATTGATGTGAGTAGAGAGATGGGTTAGGGTGAGAGCTAGGGGGTTAGTGGGTTACTGATATGGTTAGAAGACATAAGAACTATGGAATATTAATTTTACGAAGAAAGCACCGTGTCTCAATTGAGACAATGTCTTCCGTGACCACTTAAAAAGAGTGGCCGCGAAACCGGATCATATTGCTGATTATGTCAGCATTTCATATTAATATTCTCAAAAAAAATAATTAACGACAGTGTATATCTTAACTAGTAATTTTAAATTTAATTTTGGTCATTAAAAAATATATGCTGACACTTATTGATATGTGGTTTTGAAATATGAACATTTTGTTGGTCGGATACAATATTATCTTCATTGTTCTTTTTGTGATTTTCTTTCATTTGTTTTTGTAAGAATTAAGTTTTTTTTCTTATCTAGTGTTAAATAAATGATTTAAGATATGTTTTTTAAGAAAATTCATTTATCTTTTGATAAATACCATATACTTTTATTTTTTGGGAAATATACAATAAACTTCATTTTATAATTGTTTATTAAATATAAAAAATACTCTCTCCGTTCCAGAAAACATTTCTCGTTTCTTTTTTCATCCGTCCCAAAAAACACTTCTCATTTATTTTAAAAAGTCACTTTTATCCCTTACTTTTTCATACCCTACCTATCACATCATACCTTTTTATTAATAATCTATCCATCAAATCATACTTTTACACATTACATCAAAAGACATTTTTGGAAATTCAATACCAAAACACACTCTCTTAAATCCTTATCCAAAACCAAAACTCCCATGTTTTTCGGGACGGAGGGAGTATAAAATAAAACTATAGATGGGAAATGAAATAATTTATGATTAGCTAAATAATCTAGAATTAAAAGAAAAAAATGATGATATGAAGAAAATTTAGAAGAGGAATGACTAAGGCTTTGTTATGTACAATTTATTTTTTTACTCGGTAGCTTATTACTTATTCGTATTAAAATTAGATCAGACCAGTTTAAATCTAATCAGAACAAAACCATATTCAATGAGATTCGATCAGATCAAATCATAGCAGAAACAGTTTTTGATATAACTATAAGTAGATGAGATTCAATCTGATCCAATCATATCAGAAACAACTTTAGATATAACTATAATCATATGAGATTCAATCAGATCAGACCAGATGAGAGCTAATCATATCAGAATCAATCAGACCAAACCATATGTTAAAAAAATCAGACCAGATTTAATCAGATCAGACGTACGAAACGCAACCTAAATATGTTTTTAGAGCTAACCCATAATGAAATTTGATGTGCCTTTTTTTAGCATTCCCATAGTGAGTTTCACACATTTACGTGTTAATTTTTTTAACATAGCACGCGTGAAAAAAAACTTGCACAATACTCCGTGTATGGTAGCCACATCGAGTGAGAGAGGTGAATAAAAAAAATTCTCTTATTGACGGTCCGTCTAGGAGGCTATTTGTTTCAGCCTCTTAATAGTTTAGATGTCTGAATGGTTCAGCACTTAATGGTTCAGACTGTTTGTTTCAGCCTCTTAATGGTTCAGATGTCTGAATGGTTAAGAGATTTGCCTCTGAATGGTTAAGTATTATACAGAGTCTGAATGGTTAAGACCTCTTATCTGAATTCATCGGACATTTGTCTCTGAATAGTTAAGCAATATATTAGCTCTTAATGGTTAAGACCTCCTACTGGTTCAGCACTTAATGGTTCAGACCTCTTACTGGTTCAGCACTTACCTATTCAGAAGTTGCCAAACAGCCCCTAAGTTTGAGGAGACTCTAGGAGATTTGTTTTTTAAAATTTGAGTCACCTTGGAAGGGGAGATGAAACATTTTTCTATCAGCTCCATCCGTCCCAGAAAGAATGTCACGGTTACTATTCTGGCCTTTCGATAACTTTTGTTTGTTTACCCGTTTTGGCTAGCCATTTGATAAAATAAAATATTCTTGTCGCATCTTATTTTGTAGAACTTTTCATGTACTTTTGAATGGTGTAATTTTTATTTTTTATTATTCTACCAATTTGAAAATACAATGATTTTAAAAGAGATGATATTTTCCACGTCGTTCGAAATGTTGTAAATAATTTGGGACGGAGGGAGTATTATATTTTCAATGGAAAAAACTCTTTTATTTTTCGAGCTGAAAGTATATATGTGGGACCCACCACTTTAATTTTCAAACGTTTTTTTTCCTTCTTTTTAAAAAGAGAAAATGTACAAAGCCAAGTAATGGAGTTGAGTGGGTAGACCATCCCATCCAAATTTCTGTTAAATATTAGCCCATTTTTTAAAAATCTTTTGAATAAATATCTGTCCAAGTATGTTTGTACTACTTTGGTGTATCATTGCCAAAGATCTTTTGGTCAAGTTACATGAACTCGCTTGTTGTAAATCGTTGGTTAAAAAATAACAAGATTTTTTTAAAATTAAATTTAGAAATCATTTCCTCCCAAATTAATTTTCTTTATTTCTTTTTTGGATTGTCTTAAAATAATTTCCTCTTTCCTTTTTTGAGAAATTTTTCGTGGCTAGTTCTTTTTTTCTTCTACATCAATTGCAATCATACAATATCACTTTCTTTGAAACTTTGTGCAAAATCAAACGAAGAATATATATTAACTTGGGAGAGGAGTATTCATAAAACTAATGTGCATCATTTATAATTTTACAAATACTGAGTAAAATATTGTTTGCAAGCAAAGCACTCCACAGAAAGGTGGGATATGAATCATATGAGCTAGAGCCTAGAGGTGGTATGTTTGATTGGTTGAACAAATGAGAACTCAATTGATTGGTTTGATAGGGACAATGAATGGTACACGCATAAAAGCATTACATGTCTCAAATTGGAATGACTTGACAAGTTGCTTTAGCTTTGGTGGTACTGCGTATCTCACACCTGATATGTGTCATACGCGGTCCCATCAAAAAAATAAAAAAAAAATAAATGTATATATATACTCCGTATATATATTTAAAAACTACTCTGTATTTTAAACGTTTTTCAAAATAATAGGTAATAAAATTATTTTATTCAATCAAATTATCGATGAGGACGTACAATAAAAAAAAAAGTTCTCGTATTTTTTTGATTAGTGAGCTGAGCTTCATTTTGGGATGTAGAGAATACTAGATTTAAAAAATCACATCATATAAGATTTTCTAGAATTAATATTGAAATAAATTTAAAAGGAGACGAATCCAATTTTAAACTTATACTAATCAACAAAAAATGATATTATTCTCAAATACATGTAGAGAATCTATATTACGCGTGGTTTCTCTTCATTGATTAATCGGCGGTTTGAGTCGGACCAAGACATAACCCCGCTTTACACTCTTTATTGACATATTAAGCTACACTCTTGCATAATATGTTGTGATTGTAGACTTCACCATCTGACATGAACTTTCTCGGAGATCTAAGATTAGAGAAAGAAAGTATTTAGATTGATTTTTGAGAAAATGAGTATCTTCCTTCCTCACAGATAGGAAAGAAGTACATATATATACAAAGGATGTATGTGCATGTAAGCGTGGAAGCCTAAGTACATACTAATATGTTACGAGGACGGCCCGACAAAGTGAAACTCAATGCTATCCTCGTTGGTTGCTCTTATAATGGCCCAGAGTGTTCAAAACCAGCCCGACCGACCTCACGACCCCATCAAGGTTGATGGTGGCAATTGGACTTAGGGGTCCGACACCAAATCCGTGTTAGCAAACCACGAGTCTTCATCCAAGCTTTAGGGGCTGTTTGTTTCAGCCTCTTAATTGTTCAGATGTCTGAATGGTTCATCACTTAATGGTTCAGACTGTTTGTTTCAGCCTCTTAATGGTTCAGATGTCTGAATGGTTAAGAGATTTGCCTCTGAATGGTTAAGTATTATACAGAGTCTGAATGGTTAAGACCTCTTATCTGAATTGATCAGACATTTGCCTCTAAATAGTTAAGCAATATACTAACTCTTAATGCTTCAGACCTCTTACTGGTTCAGCACTTAATGGTTCAGACCTCTTACTGGTTCAGCACTTACCTATTCAGAAGTTGCCAAACAGTCCCTTAGACAAGGCCAACCACCATTTGTATAATTTTGGGTCTACAAGCTTAGGTTTATGAGCCATCTTCCTTGACGAGATACTCCTAATTCATCGCATCCATGACACCTTTTCTTTCCACCAAATTGAAAATCGTTTTTTCGTTGAAACCGATAAGTATTAGGTAGTTATCGTTTCCAGTTCACTCTATAATCACAAATTTTAATTTGTACTACTAATTGTTGTGTAGTACTCTTTTGTGTCATTATGCTTTTCTTAGTTTGGTAGGGCTAGACACGACTCATGGTAAAATGTTCCGGTTTCAGTTTTTAATTTTTTGTACCGGAACTGGTTTAATTTTTTATGTTTTCTGTTTTTTTTTGCTTATTTTTAATTTGTTTGAGGCTGGTTTAAAATATTTACTAAAAGAAAAACATTGGAGTCAATTGTATAACTTTTTCACCAAAAGAATTACTACCTCTGTCCCATTTTATAACGCTTGTTTCGGTTTACGATGTTTGACTGAAATTATTTTCATACCATTTTATATGACAAATGGTATAGAATTGAAAAATAAAAATTACATATTAAAAAACTACATCAAAAGATCTACAAAACTAGTAGTGACAATAATATTTTATTTTATCAAATTGCTAATGAAAATAGAGAAAGAAAGTGAATGAAATTTGACCCTGTGAATAGTAAACAGACATAATAATTTGGGACGGAGGGAGTATAAAAAAGAACCGGAACTACCTGGAACCGTCCCTACACGATACCGGTTTTGTTTCCCCATCGGTAACGCTGGTTCCAGAATCAGAACAGGAACCAGTTTGATTTGACACAATTTTTATAAAGTAAACTCTGTGTAATTGTGGTCCGTGTAGATAAAAGAAAATTTATATGGATCACATATTGGACAATCCTAATAGAAAAGTAGGAATATAATTATGAGTTCATATTATTCTTGGACACTAATAACTCTATTAGAAAGTAGTTACTTTTCATGCATTTTCAATCTGTTAAAGCTCGAATAGTTTTAGCACCATTAGGGTTTGAAAACAAGACCTTCCATTTCAATTTTCAGGTTGGCCCCTGCCTTTTCAGGTTGCGGATTGGACCCGAATTGAGAGGGCCGCAGATCATGACGGTCTATTTTGATTTCAAGCCCATGGGTATGCCTGGCATACCCACCTTCAGCCCACAAAAAGCCCCTCAAAGCCCGTTATTGGACTTTTTTCTCTTTATGTTGGCCTTCTATTTTGTCTTGCCAAGAACTATTTGCGTACATACAAATAGAAATATTAAACATACTCCCCATCCTAAAAGAATCTTTGACACTTTAATGATTGAAATTAATTTTAATATAATTAGTTTAAAATTAATATTGAAAAAAACTAAAATTTATATGTTTAAAAACCACATTAAAAAATTGATATTATAATGTATGATTTGGTCAAATGATCAATGAAAATTAATAAACAAAAAAATGTAAAATTCATCGTGAAATTATTGAAATAACCAGTGTAAAGAGTTTTTGGAGACTGGGATGGAGTATAAATTCAATAAAATAATTAAATGAAATAATTGTATGTGGGTGTGTGTGTGTGTGGGGGGGGGGGGGGGGGGNATTGATTTGAGTGAAGACTTTGAACAATTGTCAATTTTATATGCTCCAGAAAACATAAAATGGCTTGAGCCATACAAGAAGCAGTGTTATATTTGTGCCATATACTCTTGCAACAATTCCACATCTCTCTCTCTCTCTCTCTGCTTTAGTTGCTAACTTCTTCAAGTGACAGATCAAGATCAAGAGAGCTAAACAGTCTATGGCGAATCCATCCGACTAATTTGGGATTAGGAGAAGAACTCCAAGGTGATGATGCCTCATCGTCTTCTTCCTCCGAGTTGTCATCGTCTTTGTTCCTCATGATAATGTGCTTCCATCCTTTACTACCCGGTTTCAGTTCATCTTCTTCCAGGATATTACCACTTTCCGAGCACTCTTGCTTCAGAAGAAGCCATTGCAGGGACCGGATCACTTCTTGGTCATGGCGTTGCTTCTCTTGAGCCATCCTTTTGTACTGTTTGGCCTCCATTTCTATCCTGCTCTTCTCCTTCTGAAGCCTCAGAATCATCCCCATGGCTTCCTCCGCTGCACCAGACGCCGCTTGTCTCTCCTTCTCCAGCTCTAACTGAGCCCGCTTCGCTTTCCTCCTCTCAATCTTCACCATTTTTCTCAGTGTCAAAACGCCGAACACCTTATCTGCACCAGACCCACCATCATCTTCTTCTTCCCCTTCATCATTCGAATCACAAGAATCGCTTCCTTTGGTCTTTTCTTCCAGTACATCAATCCCCGGGGATGCGCCATAGCTCTTGAACCATCCACAAGATCCAGTCTTTGAGCCACAATCCGCACCAAAATCACATCCCGAGCAAACCCCACATTTCAATTCCCCGGATCTCGCACTGAAACTGCAAGGAGAGGGATTCAACCCCTTGCAGAACCAACTGACCAGACCCAGGAAGAAAAGCAATAACAAACACATAACCCTGTAGAACAAAAACCCAAAACTCACATCGAAATCCTGCAGAAAAGCAACGCAGTCCATCGCCAGACTCCCAAGAAACGCCGACATAGATGAAGAAGAAGCTGCATTAATCGGGTATGGAGATTCCGAATAACTGCTCAATCAATTGCCAGTTATAGACAAGTGTTGGATGACAGAAAGAATCGGACAAGAAGAAGACGAGGGATAGAGCAGAAGGGCAAATCGGGGAGAATTGAGAAGTGGGGGAAATGGAAGGGAGTGTGTGGCGGAAAATGCCGTTAAAATGGCCTACACAGTTCCAGACGTATTCGTATGTTCTCGACGATAAATCTTAGGAATTTACTCTAAAAATATCTCGAATCCAATTAGGGTTTAAATATTCATAATTACAGCAGAGTATGGCACGTTGACATATTTCAAAAATTGTCAAGATAATATGGCATGCTCCAGGGATATCGTTTGATTTGATTCGGTTCTACTTAAAGAATATATTGAAAATTGTTTTGGATTTGATTTAAATAAAAACGAATATAATTATAACTTTGCCGATTAAATATACTCGGCACATAAATTTTATGAAGTTAGTAAAAAAATATGAGAACATACGGAGGATAAATAAGGAAGGTATGCTAAATCTTTGAAAGTGTATAAACACACCAAAGGTATTGAATTTTATAGAGTTGAATTTATTAAAGGTTCGGTTGGTATACAAAATTGATGAAATTGGAATTGAATTAAAATTGAAATTTTATGAAATTCAATTCCATATAATTGAATTCACCAATTCCAATTTATTTTTTGCACTGTCAATTTTAAATCCACATAATTTTTGTGCAACAAACACCAGAATTGGAATTGAAGTTCTCAATTCCAATTGCATAGTTTGAATTCCGTGTACCAAACATGATCTAATGCTATGTTTGCAGCGAGTTAAGATGCAGAATTGGTGAGGGGGCTTGTTTGGAGTCATCCTAGGTACCACACTTGATAGGCCAAGCATTAGGACCTTCATTTGCTTTGCGAATTGCTCTCGACACAGAAAGTTAATTGAATTATGCACATCTCATTAGCCAGGATTTTGAAGTTTTTATGTTTAACAGGGAGATGTGAAGGGGTGCTATTCAATTCGATTTAAAGTGGGTACATAATGCTTATGGGCAAACATGCTGGTCACTCGTCGTACTTTACTATTTGGTCCAAGCATTAGAGCTTAAAAGTGCTTCCAAATGGAGGACCTTTTATTTGGAGAACCCCTAAGGACATTCTTCCGATCACGATCAATCTTCGTTCCAAAAAGGTAGACATGGATTCTTTGTGTTCTATTTACGCATATTACTAGGAGACTATTATGCATTCTCGATTCTTAATGGGTTAGGGCTGGACTTTCTTGGAGTCCATTGAGTCATGAGGAATTGGAGTTGGTTGTTGCGATTATGCACATTTTTGGCAGGCACATACTCAGTGTTCTTGGAGAACAAATTGTCAATCCATCATGTTACTTACACTACAATGTAGGCCAGGTTAGCAAATCGGAAGTGAGCTCATGTTCTTTCCTTAGTCAACAACATATATAGGAGGTGTCGTTCAATGGCTATCCTACCTGCTATGTAGATGCACGCTTCTCACATGCTTCTAGTTTGTGTACGATTGGTATTGTCCTATACTCTTTGGACGAAGTTTTCTTGAAGGTTGTGAATGGTCCTTCCTCTCTCATTGCTTGTGTTTCTTACTGGCAGAGACTCTGGCTACTAAAGAGATGCTCAAATAGTTAAAGTTCCGTGGTATATTTTTGGTGCGGATAGTTTTAGATTGTGCCATCACGAGTCCCAATGTGTCATACCCCTCGCTGGATGATCGCTTCTATATCGGCATCGCCTACTCGAATTGCGAGAAGCTAATCTAGACATTTATTTAATCTTCCTTCAATTATATTCCTCGTTTTTTAAATACTTTTGTTTATTCTCTTGTTGTTTCAGCATAAGGGCAAAATCTTAAGATGTGTTGAGATTCTTTCTTTCTGACTTTGTTCCTCTTCTATCTTTATGCAATTGAGTTCCTATATCGTACAACCGGATGTACCTAGAGATAGGTACATCCGGGCAGTACTCATTCTGAAATATAGTAGTACTCATTCTCGCACAAATATAATTAGCGTGGTACTCATTCTAAAATAATGCAGTACTCATTTCCACACATTGGTTCAATATAATCATAATATTCATCTACAATTAATGTAGTGTTCATTCTGAAACAAAAAAGTACTCATTCTCAAATAACTTAGTGTTCATTCTCATGTAAAATAAAATTCATACCATAAATTGATTCTCAAATAACCCGACCCGACTAGGGTTTTTTATCCAGCACCGCTCAGTAGCTTTCTCGGTCGAGGAGCACCTCTCCTTTCATACAGCAGCCTGACCCGACCCGATTAGACCTCTCCTTTCTCCGATTCCGATCGACGCAGCCATTAGCAGCTTCCTCGGCCAATGAGCACCTCTCCTTGCATACAGTAGCCTGACCCGACCCGATTAAACCTCTCCTTTCTCCTCCGATTCAGACTGATGCAACTCTTCTTTTTTTTCTCGTCTCGTCGCGCTCTTAGGGATTTAAGCCGGCTGTACGGTTAACGTTCTAACCGTACGGCCGGATGTAAGGTATAATTTGTGTATGCAATTTTATTTAAAGAAAAACAAAGAAAGAATTTAAGAAAACAATAATGTGAAACCTTTTTTTGGAAATTAGAGTCAAAAGAAACAATTGGATGAAAAAACAATTTCTCTGTGAATGAACCTTTAGATATCCCACCCTCACCGGCGTCGATGTCTGCGACCGTCGTCGCTCCCCGACGCCGTCTGCTCGGTTACGTCTCGCCGTTATCTCGAAGATTCCGATCACACGCTGCGTTGGAAGCCTTAGCGAAAGCTTCGGAAGCCAAAACTCCGAATCTCATTCTCTACAATTACCCCTCATTCTCCGGAGCTTTCTCTGCTCTCTTCGCTCACCTCTGTCACGACCGTCTCAACCTGCCTCACCTCGTCTTGCCTTTCTCTTCCGTCGAACCTCTTCGGTGATTCTCCGTCCTACAAGCTCCGCTTGAAATTGGAAAACAATTTGTGTTTTCCAATTTGTAGGGTTTTTAGTTTGTTAATTAACCTGTTATGCATATTGTGTTTGTGATAGGGTTGAAGATTTGTGTGTTGATGGCCTTGAGAAATGCTACTTTCTCGATTTTATTGGACCCAAAGGGCTGGCTTTGGAGCTTTCTAGGCGAACATCATGCCAGTTAGTGAAATACAGTCCCTCTATGTGTCTCTCTGCACAAGGTGTATGCAAAATCTGCAGTGGCTTACTCTGAATTGTTATTAATGAAATTAGGGTCTTGGCTTTTGATCACCGAAAGTCAGTGCTTTCCAGTGTCCCTTCCAAGGAAGAATGGGGTGAGAGTCTCAAGTTTCATGTCAATCTCGAGAAGAGCAGTGCTTGTGCTGCGTATGATTATTTTTCTTCTCAACTTTTAGAGACCGGCTCTAGTGATGCGAGTGAGGTGCTATATTTTTGTTGATTTCATTTTAAAAAAACACTTGCTTTAGCATTGTTTCATTAATAGCATTCTTATATTCATTTATTTTTCCATATGGAAGAAGGATTCTATTTGCTTGCTAAATGGTGAAGTCCGAGACCAAATGGAAATGGTTTTGAAATACATTGAGGATGGAGATCTTCGTAAATGGAGTTTGCCAGATGTTAGAGCTTTCAATTTAGCACTCCGTGAGTGGCGTTCGAAATTGAATTGCATCACTAACCCCCACATGTATGAACAGGTTCATACTTACTCTTGTCTTTACTGGTTGAAAATCAATTGCTGTATAAATATCTCAATAGAAGTCAGCACATTTCATTCACTGTGAATTCCTTCTCATTTCCCCTTTCCCCTTTCCTTGTCCTGTGTATATGGTGTGAAGCTATTTCCGTTCTCAATAACGACAGCTAATCAAGATGAGAGCTGTGGATTTAATTTGCAAAGGCAATTCTTATATGTCCAGTAGACAAAATGCTGCAAATCAGTTGCTCGACAAGGTTTTCAAAATTCAGTTGGGCAGGGGACTGTATGGCTCATGTCTGGTAAATCAACTATCAATACTTTCCTCCTGCTAGAAAAGAGGACGATTTTCATCCAATTTGAATTCTAACATACTAGCTAATTTTCCCGTTGGAGAAAATAGTTACTCGATAGCATTTCGCCTTAGGATCGATACGAGGATTACAAACTATCATTACTTTGGTGAATTGTCTTCTGCCATTGTTGTTGTATACTCGGTGCATTTTGAAAAAATGTGAGTTTTTATTTATTTGATTGTCTTTATTTGGGTTTAGGGAGTTAGAGCTGATGGGAACTCAGATTTAAGTGATGAAATTGGGAAGGAACTCAGTAGGAAGAGTGCAGCTGCTGGACTGAGGTTGCCTCTCTGGTTTTACTTTATCTCTGGACTCACTCTAGTATTATTTGATCTCTTTGTCATTGTGAACAATTTGATTGGATTTAATGGCACCCCAGGCCAATAGGAGCTGTAATCTTCATGCAACGGAATAATCTTAAAATGTGTCTAAGGAGTACTGATGGGAACACTGATACTTCTGAAGTATCAATGGTACACATTTCACATAATGTTTTAGCCATTTGTTTTACCACTTTCCCAGTTCAAGCTGACATGAGATTTCTATTTGCGTTTAATCCGTAAGGCATATGGTGGAGGCGGCTCTCCAAGCTCAAGCTCGTTCATAATTAGGATGGATGAGTTGAATCATTGGCTTGCAGTGAACAAAAGGTGAGTTAACAAAGTCCGGCATCCACACCTTTTTTCTGAAGTTCCCATTTTACCCTCTGCTTTTGAACCCTTGTCATTGACAAACATGTGTTGTTAGGGTGGCAAATGATGGAAATGAGAAAAATTGACGCTTCAGGTACTCTACATGTCAACCGGCTAATACACTTGTGTTGGTGAAAAAAAATGTGTAATCCTTCATACTTATAATCCTTAACAGTGAAATTATGAGATGGTCCTTTGTTGCCCATCCATTTGAGCTAAGGTGTCACCTAAACGTTTTTGCTATATTAGTGATGAAGTTCATTGTTTTGTTTGTATTGGTCTTCCACAAAACTGCCAAGTTGACTAACACCTTTTACAAATTGTCAATTACTAGTCCAAGCTGTTTGTTCCTTGTTACAAGCTGTCAACTACGTATTACGGAGTATCTGTAGACTTCTGTGGTAGTAGCAAATCATGCGGGCGGGATATGATAAAATTTACAATATATACCGTATGACCGGTTGTATGATATTTTTCGTACATCTGCGGCGAATCCTCATTTATGAGTATCTGAATACTCATTTTCGAGCAATTAAATACTCATTTTCGAGTATTCGAATACTCATTTTTTAAATTTCGGTTATGTTCGAAAAATAAATTCAGTTACTCGAAAATGAATATTTTGTTACCTAAAATTAAATATTGAATTAAATGAATATTGTACGAGGAACATCACAATTCTTTTTTGCATTTTCTCGTCAAAACAAATTTAAAACTTCAATAATTCCTTCTAGTTCTTTAATCTTTTTTTCTAAATTGGTCTAAGTTACGCACACAAAATATTACTCCCTCGATCCCATATTTTCCTGTCTCACAAATATAAGGCTTCCATTATTGATATTTTTAGGTATATATAACTAAAAATATAAGAATATGATATTTCAAAAAAAAATCTATCCCTGAGTATTTATTTGAGAAATTTACCTAAATAGGAAAACATAATGTCTTTCCCAATATAGGACCATATGTTTTTATTTCCCAATGTAGAGCTTTTGGTCATTATCAAGTAGTCATTATTCAACTAAATGTCCATCATTACTGGACATTATTCCTTCTACTAGGTCATTGTTAAGTCCTACTTAGGGAATAAAAAAGTTTAAGTCTTACATTGGGAAAGTCATTATATTTTAGTGTGCAAATTTCACTATTTATTTACGTGGACGAACATAATTTAGAACCTCTGGGCTCCTCCGTATATTTCGCTCTTTCATTTAATCAAACGTATGAAGAAGGTGGTCGCGATTTTTTATGAATGAATTCGCGACTTCTCATGAATGAATGAGCTGTAATCGGAATCTGGGCAAGCGGATTTCCTCGATTCTTCGGCGTTTTGATGATGAATCTCCATGTTCATTGAATTTGGTTCATATCGGGGCGAAAAATATCAGATCTTTCTGTAATTCCCAGATGCTTTGAATAAAAAGATTGCTCTTTTCTGTATTTTTCTCGCTGTATAGGTCGATTAATGGTGGCTTTGATACTGAACATGGAGCCTGTTCATGGAGGATTGATCAGAGATTGTGAAGAAGATGAGGTGGAAAGAATCCCTCTATCCCATGGCAGGCAAAATCAAAATTCCAGGTAGAGGAATTCTGGAGATGTGAGGCTGAAATCGTACATTTTCGATGGAGAAGGGAACTATCATGATAAAGATTGGGATATCTCAGCAGAGGGTAACAATGGAAGAGAGTTCTGTTGGTATCATGTGGAGCTTCCCAAGTTCAACCAGAAACTCTCACAATCTGCACAGTGTCTCATTGATGTTCTTTGCCCTCCTCTGAGACTCCAAGACATTCTATCACTTGTCAGCAATGGTCCTTTCTGTGGGAGTGTTGATGGTGCTCTTGTCTTCCGGGTGAATTCCCCGGGACCTGCGTCGAGTAAATTCACCTTCAGGATTGCAGCGCGAGTCACCGAGCATTCGGTAATTACTGTCTCTTTGGGACGTGTCCCTAGACTGGGATTCTCTCTCACAAACGAATCGCTCCTCTCGGAGGTTCCAGTCGTGGAAAGTTCGAGTTTTAGTAACTCGGATCAGAAGGAGAGGGGTGGGATTGTGATTAGGGAACATGTTCTTGATTTTCTGTTGACTATGAATCACTCCGAGGAAGCTGACAATCCGGTCCCTAAATCCGTGTCCAACCTTGTTGTTCATGTCATTGACACCCACGTCGACCAGCTTCAAGATGTTGTCACAAACCTTGAGATTGAGTTGGATTCGGTCGAATTGGAATTGGATAGAGGTTTGGTTGTATATACTATGTGACCGTTTGGCAACAACTTCAGCGTTTTCAAAGTTAATCTGCACTATTGAAAAAATTTTATCTGAAATGATAACTCAGAATGCTATTTCCACACTAGGCATATATCTATAAGTTTGGGTTCTGCATTTGAATTATGTTGCCTGAGATCTTCATTGATTGCTAGGTGGATTTGCTCTAAAGAAACTAATGTTAGATGATAGAAGATTTCCAAAGATGCATCTTGACTTGCAACGCCTTCTATTGGTATTCCTTTCTATATATACTCTTCTAAGTGAACAAATGTTATAGGTGCAACTATTATGTTACTGCTTCAACCTTTGTCTCATTTCCCATATAAACCAACAGGTTACTTTTTGAAAAATGGGATTGCAGGTGATATCATACGGAGAGCAAGTGTACCCGCGGGTCAAGGAGAAGTGTTCTTCAAAAGAATGGTTCTCCGGCGAAGACATTGTCTCCCTTGAAGAGCTAATAGGTCGGCTAAGGAGATTGAAGGAAAATGTCGGGTTTATAGCCAACCGCGTCACAGCAGTTCAGGCTGGTCTGGACAGCTGGCAATCAGAACAAATAAACCGCAAACTTTACTACCTTTCCTTCTTATCCATCGTATTCCTTCCTCTGTCTGTAATCACCGGAGGTAAAACACTATTCCTCCAACTCAACCAGAAGCTTAAGTTTGCAGTTGTGGGCTCAGAAAAGGTTTTTTTAAATACTCTGACGTGATGGCTTGTCGTGTAACAGTGTTTGGGATGAATGTGGGAGGAGTTCCATGGACAAACCAAAGAGAGGAAGAGTTGAAGGACGGGTTTCGGAACGTGATGCTTCTGTGTGTAGCCATGTTGGTGTTTGTTCTTCTTTGCTTCCTTTTCCCAACTCTTTATAGTCAATTGATGGCTTGGAGGAGAAGGCGGGCGATGCGGAGAAGTTGGTCCATCAACTGTAGGTCTTTCGTCAAAAGAGGTACCGGCGGCGTCGATAGAAATGGAAGAGGAGGAGCAGGCTACCTTCGTCTTTACTGATAAATTTGTTCCCCATCTCCTCTCTATAATTTGTGTTCTCTAGTTTTTGTTTGTCTTAGCAGGTTGTAAAGATTTTTTGCTATTTTGTACTGTATCATATGAGTACTATAATATGAATATGTTTTGCGAATTTTAGGATTTGAGTTACCCATTTTGAGCCTTCCATTTCCCTGGTTTTTGTTTTGAACCAATTAGAAAAAGATTTATGTAAATTATTAGGATTAAGCTATTTGTACATCAAAACTTGTATCTCATTTTGTATTCCAAAGGCATGCACCGATATTTTGTGCTAGTGTGAGGGTTTATATTGACAAAAAATGTCAGTACAATTTTTTTTAAGTACACTAACATTTTGTGCCAGTATGAATGGTTAAAATGTAGATGCATTTCTTTGGGATACACTTTTTGATGTACCCTTAGCATGGTTGAAATTATTACGACCTTGATCCAATGGCGAAACATGTGCTGGGGATTTAATCATTTTGTGTGATGATATATTTATTATTGACTTGTGCAACTCCAAAGTGAGATTTGTTTTTGAAAGAAGGTTGGCCAGGTTCCTCACTCCTCGGGTCTAGCCTATACTAGAAAGAAGGTAAGTGAAACTCGGATTATAAATGATAAAGAATGAGATCTGTCCTTGGTCCCATCAAAGGATGTTTATGTTGAGCGTAAAACATCCCGCACTAGCCTTCATTAAGAGTCAAACTCGGGCCACTACGCCCTTTTGCACCCCTATTGACCACTTAGAACGCCATCCAATTTTATCAGTTGTATTGGTTGTGGTTACATCTCTCTTATGACACATTTTGGTCAATTTTCTTCAAGTGTGAAGTAAAAGTAAAGCTCACTTTTTTTGGTTCGACAATGGGAGGACATATGACTCATATCCACAGTAAAGGTAGTGTGATTTTACTTAGGTCATTTAAAGCGTCAAGTCGAGTATAATATTGTTCTCAACTCTCGTGCCTTTGCGTCTCCATCAGGGGAAAGAATATAATTTTCTCACTCCCCCCAGAAATGTCAATGAATCTTCTCTGAGACTAAAATCACAATCCCCAAAGGACAAGAAATTGCCATAAATACAGTGGAATTTTAGCACTTTAACACTTTTCAGTTCAATTGTGAACATTCATCCACTTGAAGATATGCAGCTATGTTTAGCTATGTTTTGGTTCAGACTCAAAAAAAATCTCAACAGCCAAAGAAAGAAGACATGAAAAAAGAATATGATTTGCAGAAAACATGTATTTACAAAGGGAGGGGGGAGGGGCCTGAACTAACACTTAAAAACAAATAAAAGAAGGATTCTACAAATCAATGCCATTACAAAGACTACTCTGTTTGCATCTTCTTCTTCCCCCCTTGGCACACACAAGCTGGGAATCTCTCAACAATCTTCACTTCTAAAAATACAAATGGAGAAAGAAAGCGAAAAAGAAAAAAGAACACTGATTTATATACCTCATCATTACAGAGATTAGGCTACACATTAGAGATAACAGAGATGGACAAAAAAAAGTATGGAATCAAGATTGTGCATCATCTGCATCCGAGTCACTCCCAGAGCTCCCAGAATCGGAACCTGTAATGTTATTGATTGATTGATATAACTGATTAGTAACTACCATTTAAGCTTGTAATTAATTCCGTCTCTGGGTCAAAAGATAACAATGTCATGCAACACATATGTAAGAATGGATACTACCGCTGGAAGAAGATGAATCACTGCTTGAGCTACCGGAACTGCTAGAGCTACTACTCCCATTATCAGGCTCTCTACCACCACCACCACCGCCGCCTTCATCTTTCTCAATTTCGATAGTTGGAAAGCTGGGTGCAGGGGTATCGTCGTCCTCATCATCAATGTCAACATCCTCATCACCAGTTTCGCCCTTTATAGGCTTCTTTGGTGAATCAATCTTCTCACTCAACAAACCAGCCTGCAAATTCAACACAATTTAATTAATGACACACCCTTTTGCAGTTTGACTCCAAATTTTAGATTAGGCAAATTCAAGAAAGTGAAGAAGCAATGCATTACCGAGTCTCCATCGGCATTGGATGTGACAGTGCCACCAGCAGAAGCAGTAGGTGCTGATACATTGCCCATCAAAGCTTGCCTCTTGGTTTTGCTGACCATCTTCTTCCAATTGGTCACAAAGCGGTCAAGCTCCCATAGAGTCTCTGTATCCAACGCCTCAATGTCTAGCTCGATTTCATCCCCGTCTTGGGCCAGATGCTGGTTCCTCTTCCTTATAATCTGCACCAGCTGTGGCATCTTCTCCTCCGGCAAATTTTGCAATTCCATCCCAAGTTTGTGTTTTTCTTCAAAGTGCATTTCCCTTTTGTTTGGATCCTTGGCTTTCGGCTTTGGTAGCTTGGGAACCGGACCTCTGGCAGCTGGCATCATCTGGGGCGGAGCTCTCACTGGGGAAGAAGTTGGGACAGGAGATGGCTGGCGTTGAGGAGGATTCAGAGGATGGGGCACTGGGGCCGATGGTGTCGAAGCACTGGAGTGGTTGGAAAACCTTTCTTGTTTCTTAGAAACCTGGCGGATTGGGCTACTATTGCTGACATTGGGCTTCTTGATTCCTCTATCAGGACTTGGGATATGGTGGTTCCAAGAACTGCCTTGCAGCTCGTCCCTGGGAGAAATGAAATCCCTTTGCTCACTCTCAATCCGATTCAGTTTCTCTTGGAGGGGCCGGAACAGTTCTTCAAATTTAGAGAGAAGCTGATCAGCCAATCCATGAACTTCATCGGTTATGGGGTTGTAAAGCATAGCGTTATTGAAAGTCAGCCTCACATCGGCGGCAAATTGAGACGGATTTTGGTAGATACATTTGGCAAGATTTGACTTCACCGTCCCCAAATCCATGGGCATCTTGACGATCTGGTGATAATCAGGAAGACCCATTGCAACAGCATCGACAGGCTTGTTAAAAGGCCAAGAAATTTTCTGCTTCATCAACTTCGCCAGAACCTGCTTGCATTCTTTCATCATATTCTCCAGATCAATTTGCTGGATTACTACGCCAGAACCAGAATTCCTCATAATGTCAACACCGTTGCAGAGATTTTTCAGATCCTTATTAGATCCAAATGGCACAGGCCGCTTGTTCCCAGAAAATTTCTTTGATTTCCCATGGGATCTAGGGTTGCTGACTGTGGTGCTGAAGAGACCGGACTCAATTCGGTCCTTCAGATTCCGGATCTGATCGAGCTCAGATAGCAGCCGTTTGCGAAGCTCGTTCAGCTCGACCTTCGTGTAGGATGGGACGTTATAGGTCAAATAGCCTCCGAAATTGAAACCATTGGATTCAATAGGCCGCTGATTGAACGAATAGGCGTCATCCGAAGCCGCCTGGGCAACAACCGGACAATCCTCATTGACTCGGCCGTTCGAGGCTTGATGGAAGTGCTTCTGCTTTTTCTTGGGGTTAGAACCAGGGTTAGAATTAGGGTTCATATGAGGATGAGAATAAGGGGTTTTCCCCATGAATCCACCACCAGCATCACCGGATTGAGCCCAACTCGAGTCATTCCGGCTAGCTAAGACGGCAGAAGCCATGATTCCCGGCGAAGACGCCGAATTTCTCCGATCTGGTGGGGAGATAGAGATTGTTCGTTTTCAGGTGAGGATGAAAACATGAATCGCCGGAAATTAAAGAAAAATCCGTGACCGACGGCGGCCGTCAGCTGGAAATCCCAACAAAAATGATCAAAAATTCAGCAATCGAAAGGAATTGTGAGTGGATATATGTAACGAAGGAAGGGTTTCCTGGTTTGAGCGAAGAACGATAGGGCCAGGGAATCGCCTCTTAAAGGCGACGAGATCTGACCAGGGAAATCACGGGCAGATTACGAACCGTCGATCTAGCTGGGAACGCTGATCCGACGGACGACGTAGCTCCGTTCGCTGTCTTAGGGGCTGACCGCGGTGATTAGAATGAACGGCTGAGATTCGAGAATCTGTACACGTGGATGACCAATAAAGGTCAGTTGGACTGAAAATCTGGAGTTCCTTTGAATTTAAAAAAAAGAGAAAAAAAATTAAAATTAAAGAGATGAGAAGAGTAATTTTAATGCGTCGTTTGGAATTTGGGGTGTGTCGCGAATTTAAAGGGCTTTTGGTGGGAAGGAGTGGTGTGGGGCCCGAACAAAAGGAGGTGACGTGGCGGGAAACCCGTGAATCAGAAGAAAAACGCGCATTCACATGCACTGTGTGTCGACGTGTCCGTAGGATCTCGTCAAACTGAGAGGGAAGATTACAGGTTTACCCTCAATCCACTGCGTACTCTTTCCTTGCATTTCGAATGCATAAATAGTTACTCCATCTAAAATTAATCTTTTTTTATTGTCATTTGCATAATTGTTTTTTTAAATGGTGGTGGAAATTGATGGAATGAGAGAGAAATAGTGGGACAAAAATTTAAAACTTTTTTGGTAAATGTCCCAATATTGAAAACATAAAGATTAATATATAATGGAGAGACTAATAATTTAAACATTGATTCTAGGCGTTTCATAAACTCAAAAGAAAATTAAATCAAAGACTGTAATTATATAATCAAAACAATTAATTTTAAAGAAAAAAGATAAACCTCATAATATAAAAAACAAATAATAAATTAAAATATTTGTTAGAGATAACAATTGACAAAAGTTTAAAGTTAAGACATATCATGTTCTTTACAATAGTGTATTCTTCTCGCCTATTGTGTTTGGGTGTATTTTCGATAAACATCTCATTCCTTTATTATGAATCAAAATATGATTATATAGAGTTATCACTTCCGACCCGTCTCGCATGACATAATTTTCCCCAATCATGTCAAACTTTGTTAACAAATATTGAACTTGGTTATCAAAAGACTGCAAAAATCTAATCGAGCTGAGATCTAGCAGTTGCTCAATAGTATCTAAATTGATATTAGATTTAGTCAAATAGGCCTACATAAAAAAAATAGGAATGCTAAAGTCATAAATCTGAATCCATAAAGAATTTTATAAATTACCATATGAAGGATTTATATTCTAGTTCCATAACTTATCTTTTAGACTTGGAGCATCATTCTTGCCCATATTATTTGAAATATTAATAACAATTAAACTACTTATAGTAATTTGTTCAAAAATTGTGTATGCTATTTTAAACCGGTAAAAAATAGGTTATTCGATTCATTAATTTGCAGAGTCGCTCTCTTGTATGTCTATACCTTTGTGTACTCGAGAGTTATCAACTTGGACGAATTCAAGATTTCCATAAAAGAATGAGTTAAGTCTAAATGAACTACGGGTAAAGTTGAGCAAGATTTCGGTTCAAAATCATGATCACTAGTACAACATAATCTTGAAACTAGAACGCTTTTAATTCACAATACCTATAAGCAAAAAAAAGTGTTATGGAAGAAATGTTTAACATTTAAAAAATCAGAATAAATATCTAACAGTTACACACAAATTAATTATTTCATTGCAGTTTACGATGGTTGATGGAATTTATTTTAATTCAATATATAAAAAATTGCCAAAGACCATATTGGTCAGATCACCAAGATGGCTTTTTTCAAATGGAAGATCACATCCCAATATCTAGTGGATGCAATAACTATCGGTGCTTCAATAAATTGATAAAATATGTGAACAAATACTATAAGGCTCCGTTTGGTACACGGACTTCAAATCTTAGAATTGGTACTGGAGACAATAATTCCTATTCTGTTGTTTGGTAACACAAAAATACCTAGATTTGGAATTGGTAGTACAAAAATGAACTGGAATTGAAGAATTCAATTTCATCAAATCAATTAAAAAAAATTCAGCTCTCAATTCAAGTGTAACTCTATCAATTTCATGTATCAAACGGACCATAATAGTAATCGAGTGACTATTATTACTCATATAATAATATATATTCACTGTATTATTAAAATAGCGATACAAATTTTCAAAAGGGATAGAAGAAAGATTAAAATAAGACTAAAAAGAAAAGAATGAAAATAAGACATTTATATTTTATCATTAAAATAAGGCCTACAATATCAATAAAGTCAACATATAACATCAAAAAATACTATTGAAGTGTAATAGACAATGCATAATATTGTCACAAGCAAAAGTCTTATACTCGAGATAAAAACATTGCATTTTTTTAACGATAAAAATATTATACTTTTATCATTTTCAAAATAAGAGTTATATATTAAAAATTACATTAAATTATTTAATATAGTCATGTGATTTAATCAAATGCGAAATAACTATATAAAAAACTCTGGTCGAATAAAACTTACCATTGGGATCGGTAGGTGAAGGGTAGATTTGGAATCCGGGCGGCGGAACCAACTTCAAATAAAAGTCTCAGCTGGAGCCCACGCGAGACCGCGGACCCCACACGTTGCATTATTTATTGGCATCACATTATTGGAGTAAATAAAATAGCTTTACATAACGCTCTCAAACAAACGCGGTGGATGAGGAGCTTTCCGGCAATTTCGCTCTCGACGTGTTTCCTCATCAAACCGCCGTCCACGGCGGAGCACGGACACATCCTCCCCGGAGCGATAGTTTTCTGTGAGTATAAATTACTTCTGGAGCTCTCAATTTGCGGTTGATGTAGATCGGATTGGATCGGAGTTGTGGTCGTCTCAAATCTCAATCTCGCCGTTGGTTTTTTTTTGTAGATCTGATATTCATAATAAAATCCATCCATGGAAATGAAAATGGTATGATGATTCAAAGCACTTTAGTGTGGGGCTCTACTAGGTGACATACAGATTGATCTAGTAGTCTCTACTCTCTTGGTATGCTTTGAAATCCTCAATAATCTACTAAATTCCCGGGTCGCCCACACCCCGGCCCGACAAATAGTTAGAAGTAGGGGTGTACATTATTCGGTCCGGACTGGACTCACTCGAAGCAAGGCCAAGATCCGACCCCGATCGGTCCCTTGGAAGAGAGGGACGAACTATGTGGGCAGGTTGTTTAGTGGGTTTTCTTGAGGCAAAAGGTTTTCTTCTACATCTAGAAAACCCACCACTCAAACTCTCTAGCCTCTCACCACACAACCCACTCACATTGTTACATATTTTGAAAGATATTGTACTTTTTTGTTGCAAGTTGAAGATGAGATATCCTATATATCCTATCCTATATATGTAAAGTTGAGTTTCTTGGTTGTGGTGTTGAGATGGAGGAATTTCATTGGTTCTTTAAGCTTCTTTTTAAAAATCTTTTAATATATTTTATTGTATTATATTAAATGAATATTATTTTTTTAGCATGAATAAAAATTACTTTGATTATATTTTGTATAAAACTTTAACATTTTCTAACGACTCTATAAATGTATATTTTACTATTGTAAAATATACTCCCTATTTTAAACATGCATATTGATTGCAAAATTTTTAAAAGAGTATGTATAAGACTCTCAATTATTAATTTAAAAATATTTCACTTTCAAAAAATGAAAAAAACATATCACCTCCAAAGATATTAAATTGTTTTTTGCATTTTTATATTTTATTTAATGTAATATTTTTTAATAAAATAGTTATAGAACTTTTAGTGCATGCACATCAATATTTAAAGTATACCTTTATTTAAAAAAAATATACTCCGTATATCTTAAAGTGAAAAATATTTATTTAAAATAAATAAAATTATATTTATAGAATATCAAAAGTTTAGAATGTATACGAGCTCGTGCGAAGCACGGGGTTGACGCTAATCTTTTTGTTAAAAGACTTGAAGTTGGACTAGCTCCCAAGCAAAAATAAAATATTTTTGATGGATTGTTTGGAAAAATAAAATATTTTTGTCATATCATATTTTGTAGATTTTTTTACACAGTTTTTAAATAAGCTTTGTTTTTAATTTATATCCCAATCTTATTCATTGTAGTCTTTGGTCATGAAATGTGTCTCATTCAATTTCTGTTCAGATTTGGACCGATGTACCCATGTACACTGTGGTGAGAACTATAACACGACATATTCTTTGAGAGACTGTCTTTCTTCTACTAATAAGAAGTTACTCCGGGGTATTACTTTGGATTGAACTCCTATACTTTCACTGTTTCAAATTGAACTTGACATTTGGATTTAACCAGTAGTATTAATACATTGATTAAAACAGGTGATCAAATCCAAATTATTTCAATGTATTAATACTAGTGGTCGAATCCAAATTAATACATTGAAAGTATTACAAAAGTTGGCTGGATTGACCACTAGTATAATACATTGATTCCTCATATTGGAAATAATTTAAGATGTAAAACAGGAAATACAAAAAATATTTTCTTATTCAAGTTATAAAAAACGGAAATAAAAAATGAAAAATAAGAAATAAAAAAAGTATTTTCGTAATCAAGGTTATTTCATTTTAATTGTTTCTTAGTAAGAAAACTTAATTTTTTACTTCTTTGGAGTTTTAGTAGAAAAATATTTTTTTTATTTTTTATTTTTCGTTTTTATAATCATATTTGACCAACAGAAAGAAGTAATAGTCTGTATAGTGTGTAAAATGTTACAACTTACCACTCCAGAGTCCAGATATTTTACTTTTATTTCTTACTAGTTCAGATTAGTTTTTTTATTGATTACCTTATTTATTTTATTAATTTTGCATGGTTGTAGTTCTTTTTTCACATTTTCATTATTTTTTATATTTATTTTTTCTTAAATATAAATGATATTACTATTGTTAAAAGTCATATTTCATTATTTATTGCTCTTTTTGTTCAAACACAAATGTTTCAATTTCTACATTTATTCTAAAATAATTTTTTCGTTCTTTGTTAGAAAATACGAGTGATTGATAATCCGTAATTCATTTGATTTCTAGATCATGTTTTGTCGATTATTTTGATATATTTTCTGGTTTATCAATTTGTGTTTTATTCAGTTTTGAGTTTAAGCTTTCCTAGATTGATTGATTTTATAATCACCACACATTTAGAGGGACCTTAGGACGAAGTTGGGGTGGGGGGGTCCCTGGTATTAAATTTAACCCAATAAAATAACTCTCATATAAATTTAACATACTAAATAGAACATAATTTGATGAAAACTGGGTTTTGTTATATTAGGAAAATATAATTCAGAACCTAATAAAATAACTCTCATATAAATCTCATATGACTCTCATATCAAGACCCAATGCTTGTCTATGATATATATCATGTTAACCGAACGTAGTCAGCAAGTAAGTTAATTAATTTTAAGACTCATAATTCTATTCTTACTCGAACAAGAATATCTCAGGTAATCCTAATCTTATTCGGTAATTAGCAAACAATCACCCCCTGTTTTTCGAGTTGGATATTGGGTGGTCTTCACCTCCAAACATGTCTTCCTTACCTTGAATCTCCCGAGGCTCTTCATGATCCCTTGTCGTGTTCTTTGCGCTCCGCTTATCGTGAACAACCACTTACTATTTGCGACCATTACATGTCCTTTCTTGGGCTAGAATCTCTTTCTTGACATCTCCTTTAAACTCTTGAATATTCCTTTATTGACTTTGAATTCTTGGGTTCTCCATTAATCTGCGATCTTTGAGAAGATTCTGACTCATACTTTGCATACCTTCTTTCAGTTATCAATTCTTTCTAGATCCTGTCACATAAAATTCTTCCTCACAATCATGCTAACTTGAGGAGTTACTACGTTGAGTAATTTCAATGTACATTGATTAACCAAACTTGGTAGTCTCTCGATCTGTATAACCAAACTTGGTTAAATAAACATCCTTGGTGGTTGGCTCTTGTTCTGCTCGGCGTATTCACCCTGACCTACGCGCGATCGTTTTACTCCTGACTCCTGCTCATGTGCTCCGACAACTCAAGCTTTAGTGACAATTTTTTTAAAAAAATCATGTTCTTACTTGTTGTGATACCAATTATTAAATTTAATGTATTAAACAGAACACAATTTGATGAGAACTAGCTTTTATTATATTAGAAAAATATAACTCAAAACCTAAAACAATAACTCTCATATAATTCTCATATCAAATCCAAAACTTGGCTATGATATATACAGTGGCAACCCAATTTGGTCAAAAAGTAAGTTAACTAGTCGTAAGATCCATAATTCTATTCTTACTCGAACTAGAATATTCTTAATCCTACTCGATAATTAGCCAGCACCTACAAGTATCAGGTGCAGGATGCTCGATTTTCTTCCACCAATTTTTGATAAAGCTCAATTTATCTCCTCTAAGATAATCGTCCGGCTAGTTGTGAGAGAACTTCTCAAATGGAGTTCATCCTTTTTTCTAAATGAATTAGCTTCAATATGTGAGTTTGTTTATTGTCCCATTTGATACAATATATAAAATGAAGAATTCTATTTTAATAATTAGCACTCTAAGACAATGTCTCACAATGAATCTATAGCCACTTTACATTACAATTCAATGAATTTTTTCTAAATTCAAATTTAGAAGAAAGATATGAAACGATAGAAATAAAAGTTTTGCATAACTGGTAATAAATAATCAAATTTTGTACTAATTTTAATACATAACTACTCCATAAAAAATAAAAATTAAATTCAATGCATATTTTCGTTGAGGGCCATTTATGACATTTATGGATTTCAAAACCATTGCAGTTGTATAGACAATAGTCTTGATTCAAAAGGAGTGAAACATATATTTTTGAACGGATAAAATAAGTTAAATAGCGGGCAAAATTTAGTAATTTGTATGTTCTAATTTAAATTGTCTCTTTCGGTTTATGATATTTGACTGAATTTTTTAATAAAATTTATTTGAAAATTAGAGCAAAATTAAAAAATAAAATGTACTCTGGAGTACATATTAAAAGTTAAATTAAAAGCTCTACGAAACAAGAGTTGATCTAACTATATTTTTTTTACCAAATGAGAAACGAAAAAATGGATACAAAGTAAATATAGTTTGACCGTGTGAATATCAAATAGAAAACTTAATTTGGGACGGGGAGAGTAAATCTTAGATACTCCGTATTACATACTCCCTTCGTCCTGAAATCATCTTCCAACTTCCTTTTTTTCCCGTCCTAAAATCATCTTTCCACACACCTTAAATGGACATGTAATGACTATAATACCCCAAAATTATTTATTTCTCCACCCACCTCTCCAGCTTCCCATTTACGCAACCCTCGCCCAACCAACCCTAGATCTACCACCGCCCCATTTTTCATCCATCCCTAACTCAACATTTTCTTAGATTTCTATTCCTGCTAACTACAAAATATTTCATTTTGATGAGGTGTATTTTGCATACGAGCAATTTTCAGATTTGTGGATGAGCTATCGATTCGTTTCCAAGAAATCAATGATAGAAATTCGATGGCCAAGGTGAAGCTTCAGATCTAATTTCCATAAAGTCCAGTTGAGGCCGTGAGGGATATGAGAGTTGAGACGATGGGGTGGGCGATTGCCTCGCCGGCTTTCTTGGTGGCGGCGTGGAGTTCAAGCCGTAGACGGAGCTTGAAGATGCACAGACAATGGCAAGTTGTGGGTTCTCGCTCTTGCAGACTTTGAGAAGACTGACGAAGCCGGCCATGTTGCTGTGGACATAGGAGCGTGAAACAGGAATGGATGAAAGGATAAGGTCATTAAGGTGAGGACGGATGGTGGTAGTAGAGGACTAGAGGTAAGAGAATGGCGTTTTTGGAAAGTCAAAGCAATTTTTACACTCCCTTAAAAATGAGTCGAATATTATAGGACGGAATAGGACGGAGGGAGTAATTATTTTCCATTCTGGATAGTGTGTGCACCCATGTCTTACCTCTACTCAAAATTGGAGATTTTATTTTTCAGTAGATAACGCAACTTGAAAAAATACATAACATGCATTAAACAAAGAGTAGGACAATATAAGATATACACAGTGAAATAAAGCATAAGGAAACAAAAAATACCGCATAAAGAAACTTGTGATAGCAAGTGTAAAAAACTTTTTCCAACTTTATTTCTTCATATATATTCTAACTTATCAGCGTACAACAAGCATGCATTTCTCATCTTTGCACCGGAGTGACATTATTGTGTTGCCTGTCTTTTAAAAAGTGAAGATTAGAGAAGGAAAAGGAGGCAATAACCTTGCTTCTAAAGAAATAAGATGTATACTTTCAAACGCACAAAAAGTTAAATTTAAATAAGAAATAGAAAGTTAAATTTAAAAAAAAACGTCCAAAATTGGAACAAAATATACCACCTCCGTCCGAGAATATTCATCAAGTTTGATCTTTTAGGGTCAATTTGGATGCACTTTAGACCTTAATTGTGTACAAACGATAGTATATATTAATAAAAAATTATTCCATATTTCATTAGATTTATTTTGTAGAAAACTTTCAAAATTATATTTTATTACATTAACACGCAATACACATTTATACTAATTGCTGTTTAAGATTCGTTCAATTTAACTCAAAATGTCAAACTGAACAAATATACAGGAACTTTGCAAGGAGTAGCTCTTATTTTCAATATTGAAGTGTCACCGTTTTTCTTCTCCAAAATAAGATTATTTGCTTAGGACTCATATTCCAAATATATGATTATTGACCTTATAGATTATATTTTGTGATAAACACAAAGAAATTTTGATTATTTTTTATATTTATTTCTATTTCAGTCTTTGTCCATTAATATAATATGGAGTAATAAGTGCCCACTAATTAACTAAGCACCTATCTTTTGTTTAGAGGATTGGAGTGATAATGTACACATTATGTGACCCAAATTTGTTTATCCTAATCGAATAATGTGTGAAATCTCACTTTTTAAAAATGATTTTATCAATTAATTTACACTCCGTATATAAATAAAAAGTACAAATTATATATTTAAAAAATAGTACTTACATTCTAAAAAAGACTCTTGTTCGGTTTACAATATTTGACTAAACTTACTTTTAAATATAAAGAATATAAGTAAAAATTAATGTAAAAACTTACATTAAAAAATGCATCAAAAGTTTTACAAAACAAGTGTTTCATAAAACAATGTTATTTTGTTTTATTAATTGATCGATGAGAATGTATAAAAAATATAGTGGAGAAATTAAATTTTATAAAATGACTAATGAAAATATACGCATAAACAAAAAATATTAGAAAACTCAAAAATATTGAGAATTACTCCCTCCGTCCCACTGTCTTTGTACACTTATCTTTTGGCACACCATCCAATACACTTCTTTAATCTATTTTATCTTGTAATTTGTATATTAAAAAATTATAGAAATTATATATTAATAATCTATATGTTAAGACAAATCAAACAAGATCACACATGACTATATTTAGGTTTACACATTGAGAGAATTTGATGAGTCAAAGTGCTTAGATAAACAGTTCCAAAAGTCAAAAGTGGACAAAGACAGTGGGACGGAGGTAATATTTTGGAATGTGTAAATGAGATTCAGAGGATCACATTTTATTTCCTTTAATTAATCTTAAAATACAACTTCCACCCGTAGCCAATCGCAGAACAAATCAGAGCTCTTTCGTTAGATATGGACTTTAATTTACAGAGAAATTGATATTCGAAGATGAAGATAATGGCTAACCCGATCCAGATCGAGCATTATTATACGGATAGTTATGGATATGGATGCTTTGTCTCCGTCGAGGATCACACGGAACTCTGTGCAGGTTTTGGAACGACCTTACCGGAATCTTGATTCAGGGGGACCACTGACGGCCTTATTTCCGGGCTGACTGTCGCCGGCGCCGCCATTGCCGCTTGGTATTGCGTTTGGGGTGCTGGCGGCGGCGCCACCACACCTCCCTGCGCGTAGTACACCGGTCTCCCCACCCCGCTGTCGTACGCCACTTGGGAGTAGCTGGGCTCCGTTGTCATCCCCATCCCGACTGGGCCCGTGTTTGCCGTCGGCCTCACCATCCCGTATCCATCGGGGTACGCCGGGACCTTCTGGGCAGGCAGACCCGGTTGCGCCGTCGGAGCTACGCTGTGCATGACATTGTACACCGTCGGGTCCCGGTACGCCTCCGGTGGCATCCTCTGCACGGCGTAGTACGCCTGAGGCGTGGGCCCGGGCATTTGCCTCACCATTTGTGGGTGAAACGGGCTCGCCGCCGATGCGGGAATCATGTAGAAGGGATGATCAGGCCCGGCGCTGCTCGGCTGCATCATTCCTCCGGGTATTTGCTTCTCCGTCCAGTACCCTAGATGGGGATTCACCGGACCCGCCGGAACATTCATCTGAGTCATTTTATCCGGATTCTTCGCGGGTAGATAGTAGTCGCCGCCGGCGTACGGCGGAGAGAGATTATCATCACCCCTCTGTCGATACAGTTGCTGCTGTTGCTCTTCCAGCTGCAACCTCTGCAGATCCTGTATATGTTTCTGGATCGGATCCGATCCCATCATCATCATCCTGTCATCCAATCCCGCCGCGGGCCGGATCTCCGGTCCCTTGACCTTCACCTGATGCGGCGACGGCACCCCTTTCTCAGATCCAAACAGAAAATCCGCGTTTCCCGCTTGGAGCGCAGCCGCAGGCGGGGCAGGATTCGTCTGAACCGGGCCGGAATTCAACGCATCCACGAACCTATCCTTGTCAGATTTCACATCATCGGACCCGAAACTCCGGTTCGGGGTCATCGCGGGGAGATTCGACGGGAAGATGAAGAGGCGGAGCCTGGCCGGCTTGGGGGAAGCCCTGTAGAGTCGATCGTACTCGTGCATCATGTGCTCGAGGTCGTCGTCGGTGGTGACGGAGATCAGAGCATCGAGATCCTCTCCGGGGAGCTGGTACTTGAAGGAGACAGCATCGAAATCGCAGAGCGACGCGAGCTTAGAGACAAAGAGGGAGTATTTGACGGCGCGCTCGACGGAGAGGATTTTGGTCTCGCCGCCGACGTAAGTGAGCTGGTTGTCGTGGGGGCGGGGCTGGATTTTGCCGGCGTAGCTGCACATGAACTTGACCTTGAAACTGGGAGGGAGAGGCTGGTTGGGGTCGTCCCATGGAGGGTTCTCGAACTCGATTTCACGGGAACGGGGAGAGGAGTCGCCGGACTCCGGGTAGGAAGGGTAAGAGGAATAGTTCTCCATATAAATTTAGCCTCTCTCTGCTTCTGTTTGGGAGGGAGGGAGGAGGAGGAGGAGAATAGGGACGACTCTATCTTTATGGGTTTGTCCGGTTGAAAAAGGGACTAGTAATATGTTCATACTCACGGGTTTTCTTTTTCTTTATATTTTGGGTCATTTGGCTCCGGTACACGAAATTCAAAATATAGAATTAGAATTGAGTGCCTCAATTCTAATTCTGATGTTTAGAAAACTCCTTAAATAGGAGTAAAACAGATGTCTTATCCTTATAATAAGAGTTCAAACTTAAACTCCTCTAAATAAGAGTAATTAAATTAAAAAAACTCTCTAAATAAAATTAAAACATAGCTCCTCAAAATAGGAGCTCAAATTAAAATTCTCTAAATAAGACCTAAATTATTAGAACTAAAGTAACCCCACGCGCCTCATTCCCAAACAAGCTTTTCGCCTCTTTCTTATCCATTCTTATCCCTTCACAGCCACTCTTCAACCCATTGCAGTTGATTTTGCCACCCAAACGCAGCAGTTTCGCCGCTGCCTCCTCTCAATCGCAGCACCATCACCGCCATGGGCCTCCACCCGTCTAAGATTATTTGTCGCACCCTTCTCAAATATGCCACACCACCTAACCGCGCCATCGTTACCGTTTCCACTATGCTAATTTTCACGAAGTATCTTTTGTATTTTAACATATGCCAGGTCAGTTGAAATTAAAGGGTGAATATACCATATGCAAATTGATATGATTTGATGCTTGGGCACATTTTCTGAGATTCCATGTGTTTAATTTAGTTTGTTTTAGGAGATGGGATTGATTTTTGGGATTTTGATAGGGATTCTATTCCTTATCTATGTTATTTGGTTTTGTAATTGGCAAATGAAACTGATGCTTTTTGTTATGACTTATGAGAGCATAATAACTCTGTGCTATTTTTCAAAGCAATTTGAAGAGAATTGTGTAGGCTAATTTTTGAAGAGAATTGCTTTGGTACTTGCCTGGTCGTGCAAGGCATTAAGTCATATTTGGCATTATGCTTTTGTGTAACATTTGTGAATTCACATTGTGACATTATATATGAGCATTTGTAGCATTAGATATGGGCATTTGTGCCATTGTATATTGTTATGTATGACACTATGTGGTGTCATGTTTGCCATTATGTCTTTTTTAACATTGTATTGGTATTTGATAGTTAATGTTACACTGCGACGACAACGATACATAATTGTGATGCTAATGTGGGCAAAAATGGTAGAGAGCGGTGTTGGTGGTGACGGCGAAAAATCAACAATGGCAATGGAGGGTTTTGACAGCAGCGGCGGAGCATAGATGGCAGCGGCGGAGGAGACTCAAGTGATAGTGGCAGGGACACGGCGACTAGGGCGCAGCGGCATCAGCAACCTGTTTGCGGTGGAGCAAGTTGCTGAATTGTTTTTTAGTTTCAGAACTATGGCAAAGTTTCTTTTTTGGGTTAAGCTAATATTTGCATGTACTGTGTTGTTTTTTAAGTAATCTGCCATAAGGTCGTAACTAGGGTAGATGAGCAAAATGAGTGGCGCGTGGGTACAGTGATTGAATTACATAGATGAGTTGTGCATACATAAACTCCTATTTTGGGGATTTTATCTTTTAACTCCTATTTTAGGATTTAATCAATGTTTTACTCCTATTTTGTTTCTTAACCGTTTGGTAACACAAAAATAATGTGGATTTGGAATTGATATTGCAAAAAATGAATTGGAATTAGCAGAATTCAATTCTATGGAATTGAATCCCATGAAATTTCAATTCCAATTCCATCAATTCCGTATACCAAACGGATCCTAAGAATAGCGTTTTTGATTAGTGTTGGTATTTTAGATAAAATTTCAATTACGTAGAATAACTTCGAAAATAGTCTTTTCAAAACAATAACGCTAATTTCTAATGCTTTTTCTAAACATGCATTTAGCCATTTAGGTGGGGTAGGCATTGATAAGTGGGCAAATATTATTATTAATAGTCGTCCTAGGCAAACAACAGAGAAAGTAAGACACAACTTATTTTCTGGGGTAGAATCGTCTGGTAAAATAAAGTCATGTTTCTTTGGTGTCTGTGTTAAATTTGCTTCTTCATTTTCCCATTATGCATTAATGTGGTAGGCGACCCTTGAACCAATCTATATTCAATGTAGGGCGCATTTCTTGTCTTCCATTTGAAAATTTAGAGAGCATTCATTGTGCAGAGGATTTTTTTTATATAGAATTTTTCAAAATGAAATTAATTTCATTTTTATACTTCATCCACTCATTTATTGTCAATTCATTGCTTAGAATATCCATCACTACTCATTCTTCTCTGTTTCTCTCCTACATTAACTTATAAAAAAAACAATTGGCCAATCACATACTCTCTCCGTCCCTAAATAGATTACAATCTTTTTTCTCCTCTCGATAACTTTTGTTTGTTTATGCGATTTCATTAAGTATTTGATAAAATAAAATATTCTTGTCACCTCTTGTTTTGTAGAACTTTTGACGTAGTTTTTTAATATGTAATTTTTATATCTTATTGATATACCAATTTGTAAATAAAATGATTTTAAAAAGTAAAATTTTTTACTCCGTAACCCGTAATTTGTAATCAAATTGAGGACGGATGGAGTATTATTCCTCTATGCTATTTTCTCTACTTGCGTTTCTAATCATTTTTCTACTCTTTTCCGATTTCTCTCTCTACATCATCTTATTCTCCCCTTTTTCTTCTCTATTAGTGATGCCCTTGGCTGGTCATGTCTTATTTATAAAAATAGCTTGCACTCCATGTTTGGATTCAATAGCTTCATTGACATTATAGACAGAACAGTATTTCGTGTATAATTTCTATGAAAACATTAAAGTAAAAGGTTTTGTGCAACTTCGAGTTTCCCAAGCATAATTGTTTTTATTTTTTTATTTTCATTATTCGTGTGAGAAAGTACTCAACTTCATGCATTTAAAAGTACATAAAAAGCTCGATCCAACGAACTATGAGCCTTGTTTTTAGAATATTTATAAAATACCCCTAATAAAATATCAAAATATATTTGTTGAAGCTATCATAATCTTTTATTTTAAATTTTAAAATAATTTGTATATACATGCAACAATATTATAAAATATTATCTATGTAAATTTTTTGAAAAATAAAAAATAAAATAAAATATCATTAAAAACACATTTATAAAGATAAGTTTATACACTTAAAAGAAGTAATAAGAAAATAATAATATTAGAATATTATTTTTATCATACTCCCTCCGTCCCTGAAAACCTTTCTCCTTTCTTTTTTATCCAGCCCAAAAAATACTTTTCATTTCTATTAAAACTCACATTTACCCCTTACTTTTTCATACCCTACCTATCACATCATACTTTTTTACTAATAATTTATCCATCAAATCATACTTTTACCCATTAAATCAAATGACATTTTTGGAAATTCAATACCAAAATACACTCCCCTTAAATCTATCTTCAAAATCAAAACTCTCATGTTTTCCGGGACGGAGGGAGTATATGATTTGTTGAAGTACATGATTTTGAAATATTTTCCGACACAGGAGTAAAAGAAAATCAAAATACCAAAATAGAAGTCGTATAGGCCCTGTTTGGAATTTAGCTATTCGCGGTTGGCTGATAGGTGTTCGTGTTGGCTGGTTTGAACGGCTGGTTGAGTTGGTTGCTTTGACTAATCGATTATGTTGGCCATTGATAAAAAATGTTTGGCAAACTTAGCTTCTTCATAATAGCTTTTATAAATTGAATTTTATTTAATGAAATTTTCACGTATATAATTATATGGTATAACATGCTTTGGAATATATATTTTTTCTTTCCTCAAATAAAATTTTATGTTATATATTGTTCTAAAGTCATTATGATTTATTTATTTGCTTTTATCAATCAATTGATAGAATAATATAATTATACGGAGTATCATATTTTGTTTCAATTTTTTTGATGTAGTTCTTAAATTTATAATTTTTTTATTTCTACACCAAAATATTAAAAAAAATCAGATTTTTTTTCTCGCAAATCGCTTCATGAAATTTACATGGGGAAAGACTATTTATTATTTATTTATTTATATACATATTATTTACTTATTTATTTTCTTAGTTATTATTTTATTTACTTATTTATTTATAAATTTTTTATTTATATATTTATTTGAATACCAATTTTTTTTAATTATGCAATAAATAATAATTTTTTATTTATTCATAAAAATTATATATAGTAAAAAATAAAAAAAAAAATTATTTTCCAAGAGCCAAACCGAAATGCTACTCCATGTAGCTTTTTAAATTTTGGCTTTTCGGGCTTAAACAGCCAACCCTTGTAGCCAACTACCAAACACCTTTTTTGGCGGTTTGACCAGTCAAATCCGCTAAAATGTCAAAACATCCAAAAGCTATCTCAAATGTCAAAAACCAAACATGCCCATAGTTGTATTCCATAGTATGAACAGATACTACATTGAAATACAATCAATTACACTAAAAAAAAGATACTCGGTCTAGATGGTCCCGAGTATGACTATCAACGCTTTTTTTGGATTTTACAAGATATACACTAGTTTCGCAGAAAATTATTATCAACTACGTTGTTTTTATTAAATAAATAAACGCGGTGAGAAGTTGCATGGGAGAGAATATCCAATAATATAGTCCCTATTTTAGTATTATTGACTCTATCAGAATATAGTTTTTGTTTGTACAATTCTGAATTTAATGATACACAAAGAGTCAATTTCTTTATCTCCCCGCTGTAACTTGAACCCTGGTAAACTTCTTTATGAATCTTAGGGAGCAAGATGTACAGCTGGTCCTTACATAGGCACAGAAAATTATTGTCTATGTATCAGTAGTGTACCCCAAAATAGTGTCCACCTAGAGTCTTTGTTTTAAAAAAAAACGCGGTGAGAGGTTTTTATGGGAGAGAATATCCAATAATAATACGCAGTAGTTCCTCCGCCTACCGCAAAAACTAAAGAGGGTTAGAAAAAAAATTGTAGCAAGAATTGATCCATCGTCGGATATATTGCTGATGAGGTGGCACCATGACGACGATTCAATTACGAACAATTATATTCCAATTCGGCCCTTTTTTTAAAAAAAAAAATTCTTAACTGTAATGTGGAAACAATGTAACATGGGAGTGGAAAGACACGATAGAAATTAACCGCATAAATATAAAGTGAAATTTGCACGGAATAGGACTGAAACATAAGTGATTTTCTAATGTAGGACTTAAATTTTTTTATTTCCTAAATAGAATTTAATAATGACTAGTGAGAAGAATAATGTCTAAGTGATGCTGGACATTTAGTTGAATAATGACTAATAGATAATGACCAATTGTCCTACATTGGAAAATAAAAACATATAATTCTATATTGAGAAATTCATTATATTTTAGTCTTATTCAGGTAAATTACCCAAATATAAAATAGGAGTAATACATATTGGCGTTTGGTTTTTGTCTTTTTAACCTTTTACCTTTATTTATTAATTACAGCATTATTTATGCTTCTTATAGCTCAACAAGTGGACGTGGCATCCACGATCCTACCTACTGCTGATCTGTAGCTGACTAGTGGGTTCTATTTCTTTTCTTTCACTCCCTCGAGAAATCGAAAAAGATAAATTGAATTATAATTTTAATCAAATAAGAAAAATGTGAGGTTTGTTTCTAGTACAAACAACAATTTCTTATGTTATATGATTATTTTTTATTCTTCTTGTCAGAATTCGAATTTAAATTTACTTCTATCTCGCCCTATACTTTTAATGAAATGTTGGAAATTTTTATTTTGTGTTCTTCCAATAATTTAATCGAGGTAAATTCTAGAAGGAGAGCCCCACGGTGGATATTGTTTAATTTTTTTTGAATAAAATCACATCTCAAGTAGGTTATAGTTTTAATATTATTGATACAAAGTGGATTATGTGTTGGCTAGATATACTTAAATATCAAATGGCTATTTCTTTTAGAACCAACAAGGGGTCACATTGGGAGTGTTTAGAGTCTTGAAAAGTAAGTGACACATTCTAAATCGTCTGTGAAAGTGTTAATCTCAAACGAAAATGGAGAATATCATATACACATTTATTTTTTTTCATAACATGATCATAGATGACAATAGATTTACAATTTGTCATTATAACTCGGATAATCATACTCCCCCGTCCCTAAATATTCACAACATTTGCTTTTTCAGCAGTCGCGAGAACTTTTGTTTATTTCGACGTTTTTATTAGTTATTTGATAAAATAAAATATTCTTGACACCTCTTATTTCGAAGAACTTTTCATGTAGTTTTTTTATATGTAAATTTTATTTTTTATTTTTATACCAATATGTAAATAAAATGAATTGAAAAAACTTGATATTTTAACTCAGAAATATAAATGTAACAAATAATTTGGAACGGAGGGAGTAAAATTTTAACCCATGAATAAACATGAACCTATTTTTGAGTGGAATTTAGCCTGTGGGATAACTGGATAAGAAGAGTTTGTAAAATTTCCGTTTCGCTGCATCAATTTCAAGCATAATCTCCATATCACAGGCCAGACCAGAAGAAACCCATCAATCAAAAAATGGCACTGAGAGTTCATCTCCTAACGCCGGTCCATTTCCGGCGACATCCGATGGTCTCCCGCCCCGCCGCATCGCATCGCAGAGTCTCGTGCGCCAGCGCCGACAGGAGGAGCGACTCGGAGTTAGCCCTAGATTTGGCCGCGGAGGTGGGGCGGGTCAAAGCGCGCGCGTTCCGGAAGCAGGAGGCTCTGAGGAAGAGCAAGGAGATGCTGTTCATGGAGCTCTGCGGTTACATGGGCTGCAATTCGGAGGAGGCGAAGAAGCGATTGGGGAGAACCGGCGAGGAGGAAAGGTTCGTTTTGATCAAAGGGTTCGTTGAAGATTGGGCTCTCCGCTTTCATCCCCTCTCTGCCAGGTCCGTTATGCAATTGGTCGATGAGTACTTGGCCGAGAACTCTTCTTCTTCTTCATCTTCTTTGTCTTCTCCTAGATTGTTCCCCATTCTCAGAAAACTGTTGGGGGTTTTCCAGCAACAAATATAATAGAACTGTTGAAAATTGTACTCTATTCGTCTCGATTTAGTTCTCTCTGAATTGATTGTGTGATAATTGTTTGGACAAAATCAATGTTTGAAACTGTTTTCTTCTTTAATAAGTTGCAGCCATTATAGAATGGATGAAGCAGAGAACTAGAAGAGATAGATAAGTCTTAGTACTTAGTATTGAGTAATAAACATGTTACTCTGATGAAGAAAGCATTTGCAATTTTGCAGAAATTTGGCTTTTGATCTCCCTGTATTGTATACAAAGCTATAAATAAATACTTTTCCCTGATGAAGAAAAGAAAAATAAAGAGAAGAATCCGGAGATCAGCCGAATCGATACAGCCTAAAACTAACTTTCAAGTGTCTGTTCATGTTATTTCAATTTGTGGTTTAGCTCTATGATTTCCCTGGTTTAGGGAAAATATGATGAACAATTAGTAATGGAGTGTGTGTATTTTAACATCAAGAAGCTCTCTTCTGGGTTTGTTCCAGCTTGGCCCGTATCTTCTCTTCCAGTAAAGACGTGTCAGCATCAAGATCGAATATTCTGTTAAGAGCATCCATGTTTTCAAGTACTTCGCTCAATGGTCGTTCGTCTCCATCGCATCTCAGATGCTGCATTGGGCCATGGAGGAGCTTATTCAATATCCCTATGCTAAGATCATAAACAGCTTTCTTCTTGTCTTTTGAGATATCATTCCCCATCTTTGACAAACACTTTTCCACCTCAGAAGCCCTGATTCTTTCGGCATATGCCCTGAGTTTTTTTATTGTTGGAACCGTCTCAAGTGAATTTTTCCACCCCTCAAACTGTTTAACTTCCTCGTTTATGATCTCCATCGCTTCCATCTTCTTCCGCAGCCTGTCCTCTTTGTTAGCTGCAACGACTTCTTTGAGATCATCAACATTGTAAACTTTTGTAGCGTCAAGATCACAGGCACGCGGGTCCACATTCCGTGGGACGGATATGTCAACAAACAGCCTTTGGCCACCAATCACGGGGGCAAGTGATTGAACATCCTCTCTTGAAAACAAATGGATGTCCGAAGCAGTACATGTGAAAACCACATCGGCATGTGAAGCACATTCTAACATTTGTGAGAGAGGTTTGCATTCTATCTCCACATCATCCTTGAGCTCCTCACATATGGCAGCCACTCTGTCCACATTCCTGTTGCAGAGATTGCATTATTGATAAAATATGTGTATTAACTGAGCTATTGTAAGAAAAGGAGAATAGGAAAAGGAAAAGAAATGGAAATAGACATTAATAATATAATGAAGTAAGTATTTCCTAATACCTGTTTACTACAACCATTTGCTTGCAACCTCTAGCAACCAAGTGTTTGATGACAAGTTTCCCCATTTTGCCAGCTCCAACAACCAAAACTCGAGCAGTGGCATAAGAATGATCTGGAAGCTTCATCTGTGCGAGCTCCACAGCAGCTGAACTGACAGAGACCGACCCGGTTGAAATGTTGGTCTCTGTTCTCACCCGTTTCCCAACCGAAATAGCATGCTTAAACAGCCCATTCATTTTCTTGCCAAACCCCGGGGCCCCTTGTGAAGTCTTGACAACCTGCTTTACTTGTGCGAGAATTTGCCCTTCTCCAAGAACAACCGAGTCCAGTCCAGCAGAAACTTCAAACAGGTGTTGGATTGCATCCTTTTCCTGTAGCAAGAATCGGTGTTGGGAGATTTCTGAAACTGGAACTCCGCTTACCTGTATAAAGAAAGAGACACCACAGTTAGGACAATAACCAAACAGAGGAGAGAAGCGATGACAGAGGAGAATCTGCAATTATTCACACCTTAGACATCCATTCAGTCACTTCTTTCACCCCACGAGTCTGGGACAGAGCTAATACATATATCTCGATTCGATTGCACGTGCTAAGAACAGCAGCTTCTTCGATATGGTTCAAGGAACATAGCTCACTGATTGCTCGGGGCCAATCTGATTCGGCAATAGCAAATTTCTCTCGCACTTCAACCGGTGCTGTGTGAACATTAAGTCCAATAACAATAATACTGCTACTTTGTTTGGAATACCCTGTGAGAAAAATTCAAAGAAACACCAAGAGAATCAGTATCTCTTCATCTACCTTTTCAATTATACTAATATACATTCAAGAAAAAGGTCAACAAACATTAGTTGATGGTAAATTGAACACAAATCAATGTGGAATCAGATTGCCTTCATGTTGTTTGTGATTGTTAGGTTCAGTTTTGCTAATTGTTCTACAAGTGATTCGGCTCGTGTGCTGGCTAGAACTACTCCGGCATATTTGCGGTTTAAGGTAGATTAAAATAGCAATCATCTTTGAGGTTCCAGGTATTTTTTGTACTAACATTGGGTAATTGGCATGTAAAATCATTGAGTAATTGGCAGGTAAAATCATGAGGAACGCAGAATTAACAGCGGCATGACTGAAACTTTCAGAATTGAGAGGGGAAGAGAAGAAGCTTACGATCGGCAGCAGATGTCTTAAGAATCTCCAGAGCAGAAAGACTAGATTGTCTAGATGTGTTAGCCGATGCCTTATCTTCACCGCGATTCAACGAATTCGGACCGCCTTCGCATCTAGGGTTTAACGATCTGGTCCGATACACCAGCGGCGCCAGTCTCCGGCGGCTGTTTTCTCGAGAGCGTAGCGAAACCAAACGCGGCAGCGTGGATAGACGGGAACAATGCATATCGATGGAGTCTGACTTCAGCTTCGATCTAGGAACGATGAGGGAGACCACCGCCTGCCCGCCGGCGACCGCCATCGCTGAGATGATTTAGGAATGAGAGAAGGACGGGGGGATCCTTGGGCTGAAAAAAAAGCGACTCGGCGGGATCGTTTGGACCGGGAATTGCTGAGAAATCAAACGTCAAAGCATTTGTGCTAAATATTGGCGGAGAGTTGTTGGGGTTTGACTTGATACGCGCGAGCCCGTTGAACACACACTCCCTATCGCAGGAGTTTCTTTTTTGTGTACTCCCTCTTTCTAAAATGAAAAATGATAGAGGTACATCAAATGTGTATCTCATTTTATCCTAATCTTATTCACAAAAAAGCAAGAAATTCAAAATAAAATAAAAATGGGTAGTAGAGAAGGGGGTGGTGTACATTTGGGGTACACCAAAAGTGTATCCCTAGCATTGCTCAAAAAGAAAAAGTAATCTTATGTGAGGCCGGTTCAAATGACATTGAGAACCAATGTCATGGGATGACCCGGGGGTGCTCCGGTGCCCCGTTCGTAAAATTGACGGTTCCTAACCCCCCTAACCCCTCCGGTAAACCCCTCACCACGCCCCGACCCGAACACGGCCCCCCACCCCCTTCAATTGCACCTCCAAAGTTGATTTTGACTCCACCCCCGGGTCATCCCATGACATTGGTTCTCAATGTCATTTGAACCAAGGTGATCTTATGTAAAATGAATTAAATTTACTCCGTAATTTTTTTAATTTATTTTATTTAAAAAATAAATAGAAAAAAATAAATTTACATATTTAAAAATTACGTAAAAAAACTATATAAAATTAGATATGAAAAAATAGTTTATTTTGTCAAATAATCAATAAAAATACACAAATAAAAAAATTGACAATTTTTATGTAATGGAGGGTAGCATCCTTTTTCGGACGGAGAGAATATCATTCTCCACGAAATGTTTTTATCTTTCCTTTTCTATCTCTATAATTTTTTTACGAAAAATTTCTCTTTGTTACTCAAATTTTGAATATGCCTAACTATTCTTGAACATTTTTTTCTCAAACAAATTTTAATCACTCACTATTATCGATTGATATATTTTGTAGTCTTTGTGGCACTGATGGTAAGGGCATTAACCAACTCCTATGGAGTTGTCCCTATGCAATAAAGTGTGCTCCAAATATGACATTAAGATTATGGCAAGACAAATAGGAAATATTGGCTGATGGTGTAAATTAAACCGGGTAAGTTTGACTGAATACGACTTGGTCAAATTAACTCTACCTAACAAGCCAAACACACCAAAAATTTTTGTGCCCGAAACTATATTTCTTACTCTATCTCAAGAGTGTACAAGAATGTGTATGAATGAATGAATGCCCTCCTTCCACCTTTCACAATCTATTTATATTGGGTGGAAGAAGTCAATTAAGGCAACAAGCCCTTCATCGGGCACAATCTTAGCCTCAATCAATACTTACATAAGGAAATAATCCCCTAACCCATCATCAGCTAGCCTAACCGTCAATGAGCGTAAATCTCGCTCTCATTCATGTTATCCAGCAATCTAGCGTGATTCCCAATCCGTCATTAAGTCCCGGGGATTGCGGGGTAACATGGAGGGATGGCTCCATGCGTGCCTTCACCTAGCAATCCGCCTTTTTCGGTTCATCTTGTAAATCCTAACCGTGCCAATCTGATGAGTTCGTCCTTCGAGCCGACTCTAATAACAATACGGTAAGAAATTGACCATGCTGAAAACATGACCGGTCACCTTTTAGGAGAGAGATGACCGGTCGTTTCTTAAATGCCGTATTCCACATGGAGTGCCACTTGATATAATATTCTAACCGGTCAAGTTTGACCTGTAACTTTGAGCCCGTCCGGGTCAGGTATTGGTTATACCCATCATTGGCGATAGAGGGAATACTGTCTATGCTGTCAAATTTGGGTAAAAATTAATGACAACGGGTACGAATGGTTTACTTTATTATTCTCTCCGAGTGCAACTAGAGACACCCGTAAAGAATGACTATGATGCCTTTATCCATGTAACTATAAACTCTGTTCGTGTTTTTATTTACGAATAAGTGAGTCAAAATTACTTATAATAGTTTTTAATTTATAACTTAGATGTTGATATATTTCTTTATCCATCATTTTAAGTCATTATACTTCCATAAAAAATATACTATAATTTATTAGCAGCTTATAAGTTAACTATTATTTTCCAGAATAAGTCAATAAATATCAACATAGAGAAACACTTTTTTTACGGAAAAAAGATTAACATTAGTTCAACTATACATAACTCAACGAACCATATTAATATGAAACCAAAATTGTTAATATAGATTTATTTTGGAACAAAATTTGAGATCATTTTTTTAAGAGAATGAAACTATGGAAACTCACAGAAACATCGTTTCCGATTAAAGTTAGCGTTTTGAATAAAATTTTAATGGTATAAATAGCTCTGAAAATACTAACGCTAAAGATTACTGTTAGATAACCTATTTAAAATACTAAGGGCCCATATGACATACAGAATTGGTGGAATTGTGATTGAATTGGAATTAAAATTATATAAAATTGAATGAGATGAAATTGAATATTCAAATTTCAAATGTAGTCTCTAATTCAAATTTTTTAATTCAAATATCGTGTATTAAACGAAAACTAAGACTAATCCTTTATATGTTGGACATGAGTTCAAACCCCTTTACTATTTCTTCTGGAATAATTTTTTTGTTTTGATGAATGACAAACAGGATGATTAATTTCAAGCTGATCGAAAATTTATTTTCGTATCGAGAAAAGCAAAGAAGGGTATCAAGAAGTTTACGGCGATAAAAATCGACGATCACCCCTACGCAGATTTTTTTTGAAGTGAAGACTCCGAAGAATTTTTTATTTTTTATTAAGTCTAGGAATCTTTGTAAGGATGACAATATCTTCTGCACAAACAAATTAATTTCTGAGGGATAAAAATTATTATTTCTTGAGTCAGTTGAAAAATTATTTTATCTGTCTAAAAATATTTTACTGAGTCAGTTTCAAAAATAAGTGTGTCAAAATTTCTTAAAAATATTTTTAAAGATTACACAATTTTTTTTGGTAAGAAAAATATACTTTAAATATTTTTCGTATACATCGTTTGACACACAAAATAATTTTTGGACTCACTTTTTCTCCCCTATTCAAAATTCATTGAATAAGGGACTTGAGGAGCGTTCTTGTCTCAAACAAACAAGTATACGCCAATTCACTTCATATCGCAACTGGCTTGGGCCCTTTTGTGTTGCGCATTATTTCCTCCATAATCGATTAACTGCCTTAAAATAATCGATTAATAGGCTTGTCGTTGGATTCCCTGGTCTGACCAATAATCGATTTTTTGTCTTCAATTAATCGATTAGTTCGGACAGAGTCGACTAATCGATTTTTAGGCCTTCTGTTAATCGATTATTTATGTTCTTGCATTCAGGTTTTTCGCCTCTGTGTACCGTAATCGATTTATTTATCTACGTTAATCGATTAATTTTATCTGGTGCATATCCTCAGCGTTCTCCAACGGTTTTATTTTCCTCAGCCTATTTAATCCCTCATTCTCCTTCATTTCCACACACATCTCTTGCACTCCAATATATTCTTTGAGCTATATTCATCCTTTTCTTCATCTTCCTCATCAAAATATTATTTTTGAGAGTTAGAAATATTTTCTTTGAGTGCTAAAGAAGTTGTCATCCATAGAGCTTTAATTCTTCAACACTACTTTGCTCAATTGTGTGAGCTTTTATTCTTGTGTTGTAAACTCAATCTCATTTGAGTGTTGTTCTTAAGACTTGTGTGACTCAAGTCTTGTTGTTGTAAGAAAGTGAGGCTTGTGTGATTCAAGTTCTCAAGTTGTACCGGTTTTTCAAGCACCCGTTGAAGCTTGAAGATTAGTAGGACTTTCGAGAGAGTCTCTCGGAGGACTGGACTAGCCACGA